GACTTAAGCGCTCCACTTAAAGATATGCATCTTCCAATCTCACAATAGCTCCTCATGCTGCTGCTGGCCAACCCGTCGCATTAGTGTATCAAGGTGTCCCAAGTTTTATTTTCATACGAACGAAATCCTGCTAATTTCTACGTCTTCGATAAGGGCAGGCACTATTCAATGAAGAAGCTCTATAAGATTCCTTTCAAGCCTTCCCAGAGTTCAATCTCCGTGAAGCCGGACGGCAAATCTAAACTTTTGACTGGGCGGAAAATTAGTTCTTTGCTCAACAGGTTTTGCCACTACTTGCTCACACATATACTCCTCATCGTTTTTTTTTGTGGACAGAAATCGAGAATACGGTGATTCGCAAGCTTTTGACGTAATCGTGAGCTTTCTTTACCTAGGTAATAGAGCGTAACCATAAATTATTAGCTCTGCAAAAGCGCAGTTTTCGGGACTTATCAACAGTATGCATTACGCGAAAAAGGCGGCTTCATGAATTTTTGGCCTGTTTTTGTTTCTCAACCTCAAGCTATGTAAGAAAGCAATTGTATCTATGAATGTTGGATGAGGAGATCTTATGACCAAGCTGGAAGTTTATAGGATTTTTTGGACGAAAGTTTGAGGGGAAAGGACGAAATTTTTTTTGGATCTTTTAGGTCATAGAAAATTCTTTGGTTTTGGCGCCTAACTTCGCTTAGATCAAATTTTGTGCGAATGTACTGAAATCATGCCGTAGAGACGGTTCTGAAAAAGAAATTAACAGAATCTCCTTGAACGAAAAAAAGTGAAACAACTCAATACTGTTTTGTAAAACATTCTTTTTCTATGAAGGTGCTACATTATACCGCAGTGCTGCTTTGGGATAGTCTACGAAAGATATGGAACCTAAGATATTACAGCATCATCTACAGCCTTACATGCACTTCGCTTGTGCTACGTCACAAACTCAAGTTTCAAAAGTGGATCGTGCTAGAATTGAATTTTACTTGAGTTTATGTCCTCAACTTATTTCTCATTTAGAGCAAGCAGTTAGATTGAGCAGAATTGGGAGTAGGTAACTCAAAAGCTCCTCTGAGAAGTCTTAAGATACTCGACTGGACTGTAATGCAGATGATCCAGTGTTACTTATATCTCATGATATCGGCGAATTCTCCTGCTTTCCTGCTTAATTCTAGCTTTATCTGCTCCTTGTTAGAGCGTTTCTGTTTGGGGGGGGGGGGAGGGGGAGGGGGAGATAATTTTTCGAGCGATGCTGAGGATTGGTGGCCCTTCTTCCTTGAGGTCCTCCTTGTCCGCTTGCCAAGGATGCCGGACGGATGCGACCGCCTAGGATTAAATTGATCGTAACCGAGTATACTGTACTATTTTTTCCGGAATCTGTTTTTTTTTTGCCTGGCGCGCCACTGAGCGCACAACAAATAAATAGAATAAATAAATGCACTACAAACTAGCGCGTAGCATCTGACAGCACACTGCTTATTTGTCGAGTCATGAGTCTAGCATTGCTAATTTTCGATTACTAAAAGGGCTCACATTATCATAACCGCATAAAGGAGTAATTCTAGCTGGTGAGAGTGACGTTATCTATGCAAAATCTTTTAGGAGCTCCTATGTAAACTTATTTTGAAGAGTAGTTCTGTTAGCTGGTTAGTGTTTGAGTTGTATGTAATGATTATTTATTTGTTGAAATCTGTTTGCAAATGATCATCAAATGATGAACGACACTTGACTGATCACACAGGCTGACTCTGAGAGCAATCGTCAGTCTGTCTCCTGACACAATAACCTTATCATCTGAGCTGTTCATTGTTTTCCCCTGTCCAATTGAGTTATAATTTGTAGCAGATTCTTATTGTGAGAATTACAATGGTGAAGTGAGATAAAGTGAGAACGAGATCAAATGTTTAAGTGGTAAAGTGTTAAAGTGATTGTGATTATTGTGAGAATTATAATGTTAATGTTGAGTTACAAAATAGCGCATGTAGTTCTTGACATGAAGGCCGCGAAAACCTAACGCTGCAGCTGCCTAAATTTACTTTCGTATTGCTAGCTACTACGTCGCTCAGACAGGTGAAAAAGTGAAATTGTTGTGGAGGAAAGCATGCTCGTTATATACTCTATTCTATCATACAAGTGAGGCACTGACTGCGTCGTTGAAAATTTTATCACGTTGTAATTTTTAGTATATCTTTATGATAATGCGAGCGTAGTGTGACAGATGAATTTTGAATCGGAGTCACACGGCACTAGGCTAGAGTGATCATTATAGTATGCTAGCTTAGAGAAATCTGCCAAGTAACCGTTCTACTTGTTTGCAACGGAAGTATATTAGTTTCAGACAGATTATCCTTTTGCAATTTAACCTATATATAAACACTTCGAATAAATTATTGTTAGGCATATTTTCTTCGTAGTTGAGACATTTTGAATAATATGCCAAACCAATGTACATGCTTTCAGAGGTAGAAGTGAGCCAGCGTACATACTTATCTTTCAGTTTTAGTACTGAGGCAAAGACCAGATAAACAAGAAACCTATCAACTCCAAATAGCGACAACTTACATGAGGTTGCACACATGAGGTGATTGGATTTTGTTTGCTACGGGTTACTTCTAATGGTCTGAGGGCGTTATCGCGCAAAGATTGTGCCACGTATCAGAAACTCTTCTGAAATTTGCATAAGAAGTTATTTTGTTGCTTTGAGTTCTGATACTTGAGAAGCACAACGGAACTCTTCTTCCTGCGCAAGTATTCTCGAGCCTTTCGCTAACTGCTTACTTACGACGGAGATTCCATTAAGTATTTTACGTGTGAAGCTTGGGGTTGTTTTGTTGCAGATGATTTGTGATTCAGTAATTACATCGTATGAAGGCATTCGGCTGTTGAGCGCTTCTTAACATTAGACCAGCACTTGGCTGCAACTTCTAGGAATGACAGGCTAAATCAAACTAGGGACCTTCAGGCGTGAAATGAAAAGGGATTGCCCCATAATGTTAAATCCTTGGTTCTCTGTTCGCAAGTTCCGTCTCATGCATACTGCCGTGGATCCCTCAATAATAGGGGTCGATGTCTGAAAAAGATGCGTGCCGTAGATTATGTGTGCATAGGAAAGACAGAACTTCAGCAGAATGGCGCTATCTATTGAAATTCGCACTTGTACATCTAAAACCTCTTGATTGAATTTAGTCATTTAGATTGTTATAGATCATGTCTTGCCCAAGCAATTAGAATGCATTTTACATTACATTCGATTTCTTCTACTCACCTCTGTGCGCCCTATGTACTGTGTGCCTTTCTTATTTTTTTTAATGAAACGTACAAGAAAGTTAGTGCCCATACTAGCCATTTTCCTTTTTTTTGCAGATGTTTCAATTTGTACGCCCTATTATTTTGAATTTTCGAGCGAGTGAGAAGAGTTTCTGCATAGACTTTTTTAGCTGTTGTGTCTGGCTAAGGCTTTACCCACATTTCCTCATAAAACGCCAATCTGAATCATCAATCGTTCCATAGCGAAGATCATTGATATCTATAGTTGAAACAATTTTCTGTGGATAGTTAGTAGTCATAATAGCAAAAATTAGCATAAGCAGTACTGAGGAAGTAGGAATACTAAGTAGACATAGATTGTTGTCAATGAATCTACGCTGCCATCTACTATCGCGTGCTAATTTGTGTAAATGAGCTACACAAAAGTTACTAAGTGGAGCTAGGGCTTTGATTTTATTTCTTATAATTTCGTTTAATGGGCTCGGTCTAACGCTTTTGTTTCTATGCAACGATCTGTGACCAAGACTCGCTTTTTTGTAGCCAAAAAACACAAAAATTGCGACGTATTTTTTGAGACGCCGCAAGGGGTTCCGTTTTTTTTTTGGCTTCTTACGTTCAGGGTTTAGGGTCAAAAGGGACTTCGTACGAAAATTTCAAGACCAAAAGAGTCTTCTCTTTAAAATCCCCCTGGTGTCAGCTCGTGTCGAGCCCTGCTGTGGACTGCTGACGGTCGCACAGTTGGCAACAAATACATTTCATTGGATCGGTTGCTCCTAGTTTTGCCAGGAAAATTTGAGGTAGGATGTGGGAAGAACTCCACAGAAAGCCGACTAATTTTTGAATCTGTTTCTTAGTAGATACAGTGCTTTGCAAAATAATCTTTTATGCACTCTCAATACTACGCACCCAGTAGCTTATGGGCGCTATCAATTTCGCTATAAGTTTTCGAGAGATAGACGAATGGAAACTGGAAAGGACAGAGTGTTATTTTTATGTTCTTGGTTTCTTTGTAGAAACCGTGTCGTGCTACCAGAACGGAAATCTTGACCCATCAAGCTCCATTTCCTAACGGACTTGTGTCCAACTCAAAATTTCTCACACCTTAGTCTATGTGAGATGCTTTGTGCTCCGCAGAATAGACGAGATTCCGCGGAATAGACGAGTCTCGTGCGTGCCCGAAACATCATTATGTATGAACAACTTAGCGCTTACATATCACTGTTGATGAGATTGTCACCACTGCCTCAAGTGAATATCGAGTTTTTCATTTTTTCCTACGTGGCAAGTGTTCATAATCAAGCTCAATGTTTCCAAAAAACTCTTCGATCAGTTTTTGACTATATCGGTCTCTCTCGCTGAATGACCAAAGATTACAAAAGTCAGGCACACTAATTCCTATGATCTCGCTTTTCATATTCCGCTTCATATTTCGCGATCACTGTCCAAACAACTGCAAAGCTCAGTGAGATTATTTAAGATAAGCTAGGTATCTCCTTTTAGTCTCGTGTAGCGTATTACTACTACCTAACTAGGATTCCTTTCGATATGTTAATCTTTCCAAGCTATTCTGGCTTGAAGACTCACGGTTTATTAAAACTGCTCGGTTATCTTGGATCATTTCTTATTACACTTTGTAGATACCGAAAGACACTGATATACGTGCTCGTTGTTCATGTATCGACTGTATCGTACCTTGCGGTCTATTTTTCTAAAATAATTACAGAGATGAGTTGGAGAATATGAACTTGCAGTCAGCTTATTTTACACTGTACATTGTGGTTCCTATTCTCGGTATTGGTCTCAACTGGTATGTGCTGTGGAGATTGCTGCGACTTGCAAGGTGTTGTACTAAACTATATTACATTAATATCTTGAAAGTTACTCTGAGATGCAAACAAGTCATAAAAAGTACTGTTCGTTAAATGTACTAAAGTTCAAAATTATAGTTTGAAGGATGACGTGGTTTATATCTTCTAACAACGGAGGGTCACGGAGTTGAAGTGGCCAATCACAACAAACTGCATACCATCAGTGAGAGCTGGGAACGCTGTTAAGCTGTTTTCTTTATCTGCAGCCTTTGTAAAATAAATTATGAGTATTCTTTCAGGCAAAAATGAACCAATTGCCGGGATAAAATCAATCATTACAGCCTTTCTAGATGTCAGATGAAGAATTAGGAAGTACTCATACATTAGGCAAAAGGAGTTTGTTGAATGCTGTGTCTTGACACTTGCTACTGCTTTATTTGAAGTTTAGGCTGTAACCATTGAATTTTTCCTGGCCATTGTTTCATTTTTTACCTCAGAAAATAGTCATAACTTCTTTCTAAAAGGCGCTCTGCAGATAAGGAAGGTATATATGGAAACAGCGTTCCAAGCTCTTACTGATGGTATGCAGTTTGAGTGATCGGCCACTTCGACTCCGTAATCCTTCCTTGTAAAATACCAAAAGGTTAGCAGGGAAGCTGCAATCAGTAGGTACTGTGGTTCAAAAAGCAATGCCATTGAGTATTGTAGCTATACGAGCGAGATAACAAATAGAAAAGCTTCAGAGGAGATATCTGCATAGGAAATGTCATCTAGATACATTCATAAAATGTAAAAACTGCAGCAGGACTGTTCCTGAAGAAAAGAGCACTCATATCAGCACCCAAACACATTTCGTGGTATTTTCAGGAGAAGCGCAATTCGCTTCGAAACCACCTCTGGTCTTCCTCTTGCTGCCATGTCTGCTGGTGACTCGGTCACGCTTCTGGCGCAACTTGTACAGGCTTTGTTTCATTCGTTTCCCAAGGCAGGTCTCCCCACCTGGATGCTCAGCGGCACATGTAAAGTGGGTATTGCGAACAAGATAGCTTCCGAAGAATACAACTGCTGTTCAGGTTGACATATATCTCATGCACACAACTTCGGCTTTCTCGGTGTGGTGCTGGTTCGCGCTCTCGATTCTGCGCTACACTGCCGTTTTCCACCCGATCAAGTATAGGACTATATGGAGGCAGCCCCGGAATGCTTTGAAGTGAGCCTTTTTTCTAGTCAGCGAGTGTTAATCCACAGAAGTCGACTCAAATTCGAAAAGCTCGTTGCTCGCCATTTCCTGGACACCTCAAAAATGACTTCTCGCACGTTTAGGCTGTTGGCGTGTCTTTGCTTCCTGTTTGAATCGTGGATTCTCTTTTTTGTTGTCTACAGCGAAGAGGGTCGAATGTGTGCAGAGCATCCCAGCATCACCCCGCGTAACGTGAAGGTGACATCGCTATTACTGAGGCAATGGATTGACTCTCAATCTAACCTGAACACATCTCAGGCTGCTCATCTCATGGACATTGCATTATTCTATGCTGTTCCATCATTGCTACGGATATTCTTCGACGGAGTGGTTTTATTTCAATGCTACAGTCCATCATCAATGATGGACATGCCACTCTATGAAAGGAGATGTGCAATAAGTGTGCCGTCACAGAATCAAAGGTAATTTTGACGACATAAGACTATTGAAAGATGGCGACTTTATGACTCAAAGGCTGCTTTTTTTCTTCTAGATGCTCTATCGCTAATGACTTCGAAACATCGCTCGATGTTCGACAAAATATGACCCTTGTCATGTCCATATCAGCAGCGACCTCGGAGGTTGGTTAATGAAGATATGAATAATTTCGCAAGCTCATTTTATAATAGATACCAGCTGTCAATCTTATATTAGGTTGATGCACAATTCGCACCAAAAATAGAAAAAAAAATTATTTTAGAAATTGTTAAACAAAGTAATCAACTTACAGAGTATGCTCTTTGTTATGTATATCAAAAGTAGTATTTTATAGCACATTTTAGAAAATCAACATGAAACAAAATCATTAAGTCAACTCAAAAAATCGAGATCTGTAACTATTCTCAGAGACATCCAATCGCTACCAACTTTTCTTATTTAGAAAGAGTATGTCGTAAAACTTAGACCAAATAAATTTAAATTGTAGTACACTTCATAGCAATTTTAATAACCAAAAATCGAAAACCAAGTTCTAGGTATTTCTCTTTTCACCTTATATCGTTGCCATGTGCTCTCAAGGAAATTTGGCTCGAGCACCTTCAGAAAGCCCAAGATTTGCTCCAAACCGGAAGATTTCATCGAATCTGATGAACTAGCAAATTTCAAAAATCTTGGTGCAAGAATTATGCACCAACCCAATATTTACCGCAAACATTCATTTTTTGAGTCATCTATCTTTCGACATCATTGATCACTTTTGACTTTTCTCATATTATATTTAGCATTTTACCAAGAAGCGACAGTTGTATGTCAAGAAAAAGACAGCGATGGTAATGCGTTCAATAATCATATCGGTGTTAAACTTGGTTCTCAACCTCCCATCTCATATTCTACGAGCTTGGCTCACTTTCGATGATGATGGGATCGATCAAAAAACATTAGCAGTTCTGGAGCGTGAGTTTGACGATTTCGCTGAGTCTGACAAACAAGGAAAATTCTCTATTTACAGCAATCTCACAAATTTTGTACTTCTCGCAGTTCATGTGCAATGCTTTTTACCTAAGCACGAGCATTTACGAAACGAGCGGTACTCCTCGCAGTACCGTTGTCGTTAACAATGGACGACACATCTCTCGCTGTGTTTCGAAGGATGAGGATTCATAGTTCTTGTTACTTCATTGTTTCTTTTATTGTGCATTACAAGATCACAAACCTCCCATCCAACGGCTACTCACTGCTTCAATATCTATTTGACTGGTTTCTACTTACTTGCCGGACGAAACGTGTGCTTCCATGTCATTATGTTTCTTAGATAAGCATATTTCACTATTCGAATGTCTCAGTTGCAACGCACTTCTTTGTTTAGCCCAAATCACTGAGTAGCCTGCTGTCTTACTCGTTTTTTTTTCGAAACAGCCATGTCTATCTACATATTGAGAGCGGGTAATGTATGATCTCATATAGGTATCTTATCATTTTGAGCTTTTCTTATTTTGAAATAAATACTCTGATAATCTGATTTTATCAGCTTCTTCTCGCAATTCATACACAGAAATAAAGTTCAAATAACATGTTATGATAAATGACACAGCGTAAATGAGCCGTGGAGATACACGAATGAAACTTCATGTCTTTTACATTGAAAACGGAAAGGAACAGAAACAGTCAGGTTTTTAGGGGATGCCAAATTGGTGATAGTTGATGTATAGTCCAAATTAGTAGTTAGCTTATTCTAAGCAGTTTCTCGACCAGTGAAGATAGAGTTGGAGGGGTTTACGGCAATAGATCACTGACAACCAAACGCAATTCAGTTTGTTTATTCAATAGCATGCATTAACAGGAATTCAAAAGGGGGGGGGGGCAGATGAACCTATAAATATAGACGCTTAGCTGATCACAGAAAGATGATCTAAACTGCAGGATGAGCAGCAGTTTTTCGATTTGCGGCTCCTGAAGAGAGAGGTATTTTTTCTTCAATTCGTCACCGTTCAAACACTTTGGTGAAAGCTGCATTAATGTCAAAACCTCGCTGCGATTTGGGCACGGCTTTGGCTTCATCTAGGGAAGTTCTGGGACTGTTCAGTCAGCTCAACTAGCTCTATCTATTATGTAAAATTCAATGATCTCAGGAACGGCGTTCCTGCTAATTGCTTATGCTAAAGCTGCATGTTCACCTTCTAAAATGCCACAAAACAGTGTTACCCCAATTAGGAAAATTTGCCGCTCAAATCATCAAGTGAAGCTTCTAACTTGCTGCTCTGACAATAATCACAAAAAACAGCAATTCATACTTATCTATAATTTCTAGAATGGCTACGACTACCTGACTACATATCTAATAATTCCACTACATTCTCAAAAAATTAACATCTGTTAGGGGATGCGCATCAAACGGTGATTAATCATGATAATAATCGTAATCAAAATCCACTAACCTCAGACAAAAATCTGCATTGCCTCAACCGATGCGTGGATCTGCTAGAAGAATCTTAGCTGAAGACGTTCGTCGTTACATACGTACTCCACAACGTAATGAGAATCCTTGTAACCATCAGAACTTATCCTACGAGGCTGTCAGCGAGCGCAGCAGTATACACCTATCTCATGAATTCAGTGGCCGTCCCAGGATTTCGGACCGGGGGGGGGGGGGGCGCGACAAAAATTTTTTCAATTGAAGGTGCATAGCGTCAGCCACGCACTCCGAAAAAATTTTAGGGTGCTTCTCAAAATTTTCGCGGGCCCCCAAACCCTAAAATCTGGAATCCCCGAAAAAAATCTTTTCTAAGGCTAATTTGAATTTTTAAAAAATTTTAAAAATTATTTTGATTGTTTACGGAAATAAACAAATTACTTGCACATCTTTATAACCCACGTAAGTAAATTCTAAAAATTTCGGGACCTTCTCGCGGGGGGGGGGGCGCCCCTTCCCCCCCCCCCACCTCCGCCCCTCGGTCCGCCACTGCATGAAATTATCCTTGGAAGCTGCTAGAATCAGAGCATGATTTGCCTTCGATGAAAGGCGCGCAAGCAGGGCTCGGTATAGGTGGCTTATAGGCAAGCTGGATATCGTTTTTGGGACAAAAAGCAAATGTGATATCGTTTTTTGTTGCCAAAAAGACACAAAAATGCGACTTTTTTAGTCGACATTTCGTTTTCTGAGGGTTTTTACGTTCAGGATTCAGGGTCAATGGGGACTTCGTAAAATTTCGCGAAATTCAGGGGACTTCATCTTTTCCATGTTCGGAAAGCCACCTCGTGCCGAGCTCTGCGCGCAAGTGCTGGTAGATGATACGCACTCTACACTTTGCAAAACACAATCTTGTCAGTCTCAAAGAAAGGAACAGCTAGACAAAGATAGTAACATTCCATTCCTCTCGGCCTCGCACTTTGCGTAAAAGCATGAGACAAAAAATTCTTCTTTGGAGTTTCTTTATCTCTATTTGTTCCTCCTTTGGAATGAAAATACCTTGGATAGGTTTGACATAAGTCCAGACTAAAAACAAACAAGCAACTGTCATGTGTGTATCGATCGCCTTCTCTAGCTCCCCTGATGGTGCTGAGCCTTCTTTGAAGTAGACTCTAAATACACAGGTCAGGTCAACCATCGAGCTCAAATGGCGCTGCTATTAGCTGTCGTGCAACCATCCCGCAATCCACAGCAGTCTCCAGATTCTGCTGTAGTGCAAATCCAGGAGTGGGCAAATTCCTTGAATTGAACTTGCGAATTCCTTTGCTCTCGTCTGCTGCAAGAGTAAAATGACGTCGCAGTACCTATGTTTTTGCTAATATCTGCACTTCTGAGCTCATCGATTCAACGTCCATTTTCCCTCACGCCAAGCCCTCGCTATCGATCCCATCTCCCTCGCTGTTCATGAGCACAATGCCATGTTGCTTTGCACTAATTACACACAATCTAAAAGTAAATCGGAAATTCCTGGATGTTTTAACCATTTTTTGCTGTCTTTTCACTAAGGCACAAACAAATTTTTGGAGCAATACACGCTAGCTGGTCATTAAGTTCCGTTTTCTGCAACTCGAAGACGAAGTAAACATGTAGAGGCAGTAAACTGCAAGCATAAGCTGGTGCCATCATGAGTTGGATTTGAAAACCTAAACTTCAGAGATGAAACTTCGTTCTGATGCAGGAAAAGGTCAGAAAAAACATAGCCTATACAAATTTGTTTATTTGCTTAGCTGACGTGTAAGTATACGTAGACAAGTGATGCAGTTGCTCTATAAATAGGCATTTATTGAGTCTATCTTAGTCCGCTTTAGGTATCGTCAATTATTTCTACGATCTAACATACTCCATTGCTCTAAGTTTCATTGGCCTTCGCTGTGAATCTTTCTTCATGTTTAACAGGTTAATATGCGAACTTCATATTTCGTGCGTATATCATTTTCGGGCATTCCAGAACTGTTTTCCGTGATACTTTCACAAATGAGTTATTTTGCTATATATAGATTTTATTGCTCATTTTCTCGCCTGCTGACATCTGTCCTCCCACTTTTAGATCTTGTCTTTATCTCTCAGATCTAGCGCTACTTTTGCCAACAAATTTACTTGGATGATCCTGTTTTGGCAGAGAGTGTGATGACCTTCAACGGCGTTGTTAAGTAAAAATAATTCGGCATGCAATAAGGACGTTTGTCCCAGCAAAATATTCTCTCCCTGGTGAGGCTAAACATTTTCTGCGCAAAGACTGCATATTATCATAAAATCACAAAATGAATTATTTGAAACGTTATCGCTCAGAAACGCGTATACTTTTGTAGTTTTTCTATTAACGCCTAGCGAAACTTTGTCACGTGTTGTTAATGGGTAATTTTTATAGTTTTATATGCTGCAAAATTCTTTGCTTTCTAGTGGAAAGAGCAGCTGTCCTAAAAGCAAGTCTTTTGCGGCTGTCGGAAACTGTTGCTTATCAGGCATTCCGAGCAGGTTTTTTTACATGCCGTCATCTTGTAGTGATGAAATTGTTGCGATTCAGATCTAAAGGGTCGTTCGGTTCTTGCTTCGGCGCCACTGTCGAAAGAGAAAAGCCCAGATTTTTCGAAGAAAAGAAGTTGAAGATCGTTGTTTTGAAAACATGTGACTGTGCCTTATCAGTTTTGAGCAGAAGCTATCTTACTTCTTGATTGTGCCATTTCACTACTTAGAACCGGTTTTTAATGCCTCTATATCGCAACATTTGCTTTGTGGGGGCAATGTTGCGAATTCAATAATATGTTTTGTTTTTTTAACAGTCATCGAAGTCTGCTTGGAGACTACGAGCTCTATAGCTCTATACCACTGAGTTGCGACTCGTTCGCTATCTCTGCACCCTATCACATCCGAACTTTGTCTGTTAACGTAGTTGTTGCTTCAATTCCGTCACCTTAGCTTACGAATTGGACGATTTTTCCCAGCTTTTCTCCACCAAACTTGAGGTAAACCTTCCCGAAGAGTATTTTACTGAAACCTTTTTCTATATGTGCGTGTGCGTGCGGAATGAGGGAAGAGTTGATGAGAAGCCAGCTGACAAGAACGGGTTTTCGCATCTCGAACGCGTTTCGCCGTCTCTCCGGCAAACAACTTTTACCAGAGCGGATCGACGGGTGGTTAGACTGCCATTGACATGAACTGGTGCCATGCAAGAGTGCACTTTTTTCCGATCGCTTCATTCTGCGCTCTTGTCAGTTTTGAGTTTTTGGAAGGCTATACTAACTTACTACGGGCAACCAATTAGATTGTAACTTTTCCTATTCTTTAATGCGCTCCCTATCTTTCCTGGTTATATTCTTTAAACGTTCACACTATGAAACCTATAAACGATTTTTATACTTTCATGTTGGCCTGATACCAGTTTGTTGGCATCTTGAGTATCCACGGGTATTCCGGAAATGATTTTCTGCACACCTCCTCTGAGAAATATTTCTTCGATTTTCTCTATTGATTATTATTTACTACTATATAGTGTCTTATCAAATTGTATGCACTTTTTAAATAAAACTCACATGTACTGAAGGTTTTTGTCTAGCTGAAATTTCGTGGCTTCTTTCTTTTCTTTATCCCAAGAAGGACTAAGGTTTAAGTGGTAAAACTGCAGAATCACTTGATGCTTTACCAAAAATTGCTGATGTGTCAGGCTTATGCATGCAGAGCCAAAATCCAAACTTCGTGCACCAGAAATACGATTTGAATTCAGCTACAATCCAAATATTGAACATCTAAAAGCGTCCACAGATGGCATGTGTGCCCTTGGCTTTACTTCTTTACTAGTGTTTTCGAGTAATCGCCAATAGCATGTTGAATTGATTTATTAGTTTGGATTCTAAAGGTCGTTTTTGCTGGCAAGCGAGGGCTATGGGTACAAACTCTACTGAGTTATATATTGCGGGTAGAGTCTGCTTGAGCAAAACCTTAGTGCTTGGAATTTTTATCAGTATAAGCTGGAACTGAATTGACTATGACTTCACAGTATGTTTACTTTCTTTTCTTTTCAGTGTCGTAATCTCAGCTGTACACCTTCTTGATTTTTGTAACACGGCGCAGAGCGTACAGAATAAATAAATAAATAAAAATGGGCAAACTTCGCTATGTGCTCGCCGTAGTTGTTAACGATCGGCTCTTTGTGGTGACTTCCCTTCTGTTATTGTTTTTGTCAGCATGCCTCTTACACTCCAGCATGCACATATGCGTGTGCCTTGATGATTCATTTGTTGATGATTGAATCTGCCGTCAGTTCATCGCTTATTTTTTTGTCGTTTTGATTTTGTTCTTCCATAAGAATTTACTTTAGTGCCCGTCTATCCACAAATGCTTATTCTCTCCTTCTTCGTAAATTTTCGGCTGTAATTATCCTCTGAGTTTTCTCCTTTCCAGTTTGTATGTGTGAATTTGCATCAACCTCAACTCTTCGGCAGTTTGAGGTTGTTCTTGGTGGCGGTTCACTTTTTGTGAACGCACACTGGATGGCTGAAATCTCCCCCTACTTTAACAGGTCAGAGCTAAACCTACTTCATAATTCTCAATGAATCTCGTTCAAGTTCAAAGAACACAGATTACAGGATTTGTTTCGATAGAAACTTCACGGAAGCTCGCGAAGGATGTGTGCATATTAAGGACGTGGATTATGCCGACGTTGTGGCAATGTTAGAGTATATCTGCCCCGATGCGAATTATTTGCGTCAGAAACGAATTGGAGGTGACTGAAAAACAAAATTACCATTTGATCAGTGCTTATATGTACACACAACACATCATTCGCTAATTATTTTCATTTTCCCTAAGTAGCTGCCTAAAGAACAAAAAGTTTGACGCTAAACGCTTTGACTCAAAGTCCTTTCAGATACTAACTTGGCTGCTCTCATTCACTGCTCGCACCGGTTTCAAATTCCATCACTACAGCGGGAATTGTATCAGTATCTGGAGAGTGAGCTACCTTCCGAGGACTGCAAATTGAAACCGGAAACTTTAGCTGACGCAATTGCTGAAGCTTTAAACGCGCACTTTAGGTGAGCGAGCATTAATAATGAGTCAACCAGGGTACATTTTCATAGTATTTCAGCCCAAAATTCATTGCGCATATGTACAAAAAATTTGGTGAACATGGTCTGGATAAAATGCAAGAGGCCTTAAAAAATATGCCGAATACCTTAGCTGAAACGATTCTGAGTGAGGCGCGGAAGTATACGGTAAGCTTTTCTCGAATTTGTGACTGACTATTGTTGCTGTAGTGATATGAAGATGAGTTTTCAGCCAGTTATCACTCAAGAACCGATATCATCCACATATCACTGGAATGATTTCTCACGTCGGATGTTTTTCTAGGTGCTTCGTAATATACCGGTGCTATCGCCGAGCTCAATGTTTTTGTACTTTATTTGAAATGGGTACTATACAGTTTGTTTCTTGTTGTTCTGCGTTTCTGTAGATAGTGGTGTATAGGTCGCGAGAAGGAGGCACGCCCAGTGCTTACCTGTTTTCTATTGTTTTTTTGTGAGGAATGTCATGTTTGAGTTTTGCTTTCTTCAATTAGTTGTGCTTCTTTGATCTGTGCTCGCCGAGCCAGCATGATTAGCTGGTTCCTGTGGTGTATATAAAGGTGATAACAAACAGATGCGGAGAGGTTTCGTATTTCTTTCAAAACAGGCTGCAAAATGCGACTCATCATAAAATCATACAATTTCTACATCTGTACAATTCTGACCACTCGATTCAGCTAACAGAATGTGGGCAGATGGGGAACATGAATTCGAAGAACTGTCGCATTGCTTTTGTCTTTCCTTTGGACTGAGAGTTCGCTCCTTGTATGCGGAGACGAGACGAGCCTAAACTTTCTTGTAAGAAGCGTCAGTAATCGCAAGTGATTTCGCCAACGAACTACCTGCGCTGTCCAAGCTCTGTTCAGGCGTATCTTTCTCGTTTTTATCGGGCAGCTGCTTGATCGCCTTTTGCGTTTTGTCAGAACAATTGCTGTGTTGATACTACTTTCATCATCATCCCAAAACCGTCGCCTCTCTTAAAGTCTATGTTTATACTGTTCCTCGTACCACAACTTGGATATTGGAATTGACTTTCATATGCATGCTTCAGTGGTGTTTTTGTATGTTCAAACGAGCAAGAAGCGTTAGGCCTAAGGCATACCTCGCGCGATTCCGGTCGCCGCGCGATTTGGCACAACAGGGACTCTTCGTAATTCGTCGTTAAGGCGCTCCCTTTGGCCAGAACTGCTCCGTTTGCAACAATTTGAACAAGCTACCCAAACATGCGCCTGAGAAGCGCATACGATAAATTTGTAGAAATCTGGCAAGTTGCCAAGTCTCGTGAAAGTGGCGATTCGGGCGAATCACGTGAGGTATGCCTTAAGTCTTAGCCTTCAAAGAAGATCTCAAAAAAGAGTCAAAACAGGAAGAGTTGCTCATGTTCATATCAAGATCTTTGAGAAACACACAGTAGCCAAGTAACACTAAGTACTGCAGTAAAGTAATCTTTCTTACCTTTGGTGCATAAACTCGAGAAGCAATTTCGACATGGTTCTGCCTTGTATCCATATCTGTAATATCAGTGATACAAGCCTAGAAAATTTACCGAAGACATCGTGGCATTTTGAGTGGCTCTGAAGATTGCGTCTTACAGCTTCATAGCTGTTTTGACATATGAGGGTAGGATTAAGAGGTTGTTTCAAAGCTTCTGCCTTTGTTGCATAAGTTTGCTTGAATAAAGAAGCATTGTAATAGATTTGTATTTAGAACTTCCATCTTGTCGTTGTTCCAGAAGCTTAAAGAAGCTTAATTCATAAATGTGCAATCTACCAAAAAAATACTTGTGATTAAGTACCTTTTTATAGAAATCAATCTGATTGATGATTTTTGCAGGGTGATTATCTTGAGTGTTTATAAATAACTGCTAGTGAAATTGTGCTTATCAAACATGCCTACGAGTTTATGGCATTTTTCTCAATTTGCTTCGAGCATTTTCTGCTGGAAAATTATTTCGTACCTTGGTGGATGAAGTATTTACGCTGACGACGTCAAACAAGGTTCACGCCAAACTCTTAACGCATTAAAGCACGAAAACGTGATAAGTAGGTAATTTATGTTATTGCGTTATGCAGTAACGCATCGAAATCAACAAGTCATCAAAGTCCTGCGTACCTGTCCATAATCCATTGTATCCATCTTGGGTTTGCACAAGCTGAAGGCGATATAATCCAAAAAGCCGCAGATACTGTTGTGCCGACAACGGAGAGAAGAGCGAAGTAAAGTCCGAAATTCCACCTTGAATAAATGGTATTATTTTCCGAAATGGTATCAAACTCTCTCTCTCTCCACGATTATGCCTTACGTACCTTTCAATGTCGATCCATGAAAGGACAATTCCGCCTATACCTATAGAAAAACATACGGAAGTAGCGAGACATGCGTAGAACATGGGGCGACGCAGGAACAGAAGCAGAAGGTGTCACCTATCAGCGGAATGGTAAGAAGAGTTCAACTTATGGAAAACCAAACGCAACTGAACTATATGGGCGAGATGAGCAAATACTGACTTATTTGGATGTGGTGTGACAAGTGCTCCTTGTATCATGCTTCTCAATTAATTTGGCCGATCTCAAGTCAGTGTCTTCGGAGAGAAGTAGACATTGTACTAGAACACGAGAGGGCCTAAAGGGTGAGTACTTGAGAAAAGGCGAAATCAAGATAGGACTTCAACCATGGAAATTTGAGTGATTAGGCAGATACAGAAGATATTAGCAGAATATGCAAACAATGCGGATTGATAATAAGCCAAGTAAGTGAGGTCATTGCCTGGCTCGCGATGATTTGTCTACCAGTGAATGAATAAAGGGCGAATGGATATCATCTGAATTCGCCTAATCAGACTGTTTGCGATCTTCAAGAGAAACGGCAAGAAATGCGAAAATACTAAAATGCTATATAGGACAGGTGAAATTTTTCAAAATCATTAGTGGCTATTTTTGAAAAATGCATGAAAAACTCTGAATTAAGTATGCTTGTGAAATGTGTTTATTACAAAAGTGTAAAAGTTTAGCTTATAGGTACGCCTTTTTTGACCAGGTAGGAACAAGAAAGCGACATTATCTTCTTGGAAGTGACGCCATTCGACCGCAGCTTGATGCGATAATTCCAAATCTTGCAGCTGCTAAGATTTTCTCCACAAAAAAATAATGAGCTTTTTCGTCGTCCGTATTGGAAGACTGACTACGATTTGCATGTGTAGCCCAACCATTCTTGAAAATTCTGATCAAAAAAGCAACTTAAGATTTTTTTAGATGTTGATCCATTGCTCAAACTACCGAATTCGGCTTTCGCCCTTACCTACCGCCCCTACACAGATGTTCATGTCCCCCCTCCCTCCCAAGCGATGCTAAAAATTACCCGTGACATGCCTGGATCCCCGCTTAGAGCTGCAACATTATGAAGGAAACAAATCCTCTTTAGTATCTCTGAATCGTTATTGTAACAGAACCACAATCATTTTCTAGAAAAAGTAAACAGAAAATGTAAGAGATCTACTACTTTGCTCAATTGAATCCAGAAAGAAGTGGTTGAACGAAAAACATGCTTATCGTTAGAATTTTTTTTCGTATGTAAGCACAATTTTCGAACACATTTCAAAAATGGAAAGCTTTCCTCTCTCAAGAAAGCAAAAAACAATTTCTCAAAGACACGACTTCATAAGAAAAACACTCATGTTTCGTATAGGACTAAGCTAAATAGTAGCAGCATTCATCCGTGAGAAAATAACAATAGGCCTACAAAAGGGCATATTCCTAAAACAAAAGTACGTGATTTAGTTATACATGTTATTCGCTTCACTTATGACCCGCAATCAGTTAGCAATCGGAATTTTGTTAAAGGCTGGTTTTACGTGACATAATATTGCCAGCGCAATTTACCTTCTCCTTACTATGGAGAGGCAACTATGATTGAACCTTGGCCAACCTTATTGAGTCAAACGCTAGAAGAAAGGGCGTTTAGGCCGAGCCCAGCATGAGTAGACGCGGTCTTCCGTAAAAACAAAGGCCACATGTGGGCCAAACTGAATACGCATCAAGCGGTAGATTATTTCCCACTGCGATTCGGCTATTCACAACATGCACTAGCCCGTAGCTATCAGTGGCCACACATAAGAGCGCTCTAAAGTCGCAAGTGCTGCGCTAATGGCGAGTTAATGGACTTAGTCAGTCAAGACAATTAGATCACTCGGACTATTCCCAGCAAGTGCTCTTCGACCAAGCATGGGAAAATTTGTGAAACTTGGTATGAGGTTGTAAATGTGTAGAGAAGTAAGGGTCATTGCACACAGTTCTAGTGCTAGGACCAAAAGGCTCTCCTTCTGATAAGTTACTTCTATTAATTTCGAAGATATGTTAATTAGGAACCTAAGCTACACAAGAAACTATTACATGTGCCTGATCAAAAATTTCAGGGCATAAGATTGAAGAACTTCTGGAATGTTCTTGAATATTTATTCGTCATTACTCGTGTTTGAGGATGTATGAGTCGCTGAAAGCATTTTGATATCACAACAAATGACATAAGCATCAGAACAAAAGAGATCAATGGAGGCATAGTCACTATTGGGACAAACAGAGATTCTGGTAAAAACGATAGTGTACATGTACTGCATCAGCAAGAACACTTCCTCGCAATCATTCCTTCCACTTTAGCCACTGTCATTTGATTTTGTTGGTTGAGGTAGACGATCTTCAGAGGATCGTAGCTAAACTGCTGTGTTTTAATTCAGATTGGTTTGACAGGAATCGAGCAAATCTTTCACTTTGTCGGGTGGCAGCAATTCGTAGTATGCTTTACTTGAGCTAAAGTGCTGAGTCGGTTGTCAGCAATGCGGTTGTGGACCATAACTGCTGGCTGAAAATCGCTTTCAAGACGACGAATTTTGACACTACAAGGTGTCCCAAAAGTAAGTACACACTTTCCAATCGTCAAATCTCAATGGGTCTTTTTGCCAGTCAATTACCATTCTGTAGAGGAGGTTTCATCTTAGAGTTACAGTACCGATCGAATCACCGATCGCCCTTTGTTGCTGTAGGATTACGGTAAGAACTTCCAGCATGTGGAACCATTGTAAAGTATGTCATCTGAAAATTTTTTCTTTCAAAAAATCTGAAAAATCGTTTACTAAGAGTTTTCGCGCATGCTGATTCCACTACACATTTTTTTGCGAGTGATTCCAGCTTTTTTGACTGTAATCACATTTCTGACAAATACTGGGAATTCGGTTATTCGCTTTACCTAGGATGACTTTGGAAGGAAGCATCACAGTAAAGTGGAAATTTCATATTCAAAATCGGCGGCTTCCATTACCATAGTATAGGAGTTTTCGGCTTGTTTGGTTTTGTTCCGAGGCGTATATGGCTTCCGATGCCTAAAATTCTTGTCGAAGTTCCTATGATCCTACAGTAACGAAGAGCGATCGGTAATTCGCTCGATACTGTAAGTCTAAGTTGAAGCCTCCTCTACAGAATGGTACTTGAATGGCGGAAAAGCAACGGGAAGAGAGATATTGACAATTGAAAACTGTGTACATACTTTTGGGACACCCTGTATAACGCGTACACGACCGAGGCTCCCCCAAACAGTTCTGCTTCATTCTCTGCACAAGGCTGAGCCAACAGTTAATTGTATGAAGTTTCACCTCGGTACTCGTGCAGTCTCCTCGACAGATGTATGCGTTATATCTGAGTGGAGCGATGATGAAATCCCAGCCGAACTCCGCGAAATCAATCTAAACAACCGTAGTGCATGTCTGTTCATTTCCAATACATAAGGTTGATGAGCTGAAACCTGCGTCATTTGCTCTTGACAGATGGTTTACAATATTATCCAGTGCTTACGTCATGATGGAACAACTGCAGTGCTTGTTTTTCAGCTACACTTATGCGCTTGTTAAGTGTAATCTATAATCTAAGGGTGATCCTGTTGGACGCATCGATATAATACACTTTTCAATATAGCGTTAGTTTAAGCCATTGCGTTTTTGTGCTCCCTGGAATATTGGAGACGAAGCTATATCTTATGCTCTTGTGTTGGATTTCAACTTCTCCGGTTCTGAATAGAAGCGACTCACAACAAGATCATAGAGACAGCAACCATTCTCCTTCATTGATTCAGTACAAACCGGTGATGCTGCCCGGCGCGATCTCTTTAGAGCAGGGTCATGAAGTTGTAAAATAAGAACCATACTCTGAAAAGCTACATTCTTCTAGATGCACACTCTTATTCTACCGTCGTCGCCAACCTCGGCTGGTCGTCGAGTGTTTTGCGGATGAACGGCTAAGTTGACATCGTTGAGTAAAGCTTCTACCACCAAGCCTTCAACAGGGTCTGCCGTCCACCAACTAGAAAAAATCACCTCATTTCAAAATTGTCACATCGAAGTTACGAACCGCCTCAAATCTTCTGGGCTTATTTGGATAGAAACTCGCACATACTTCCGAATTTTTACTGTTTTTGTGGCTATTTCGTCACTCTTTGAACAGCTTGATCTTACAAACACTCAAAAACATCTCATGAAATCAAGAAAGCTGCACTTTGTACCTGGCCATGCATTCTTCGCTCTCTGACGCTTATTCGCACTTCTGCTAGATCACTCAGCTCTTCATCGACAGATAAATAAACTTGAAGTATGGCCTAAAATTAATACGAAACAAGGATGCATGAATTGTATGTAATTTATGTGATTGCTCATCAACCTTCACTACTGTCCTTTCCTTCGTCTGCTCTGATACAGGAAAGTGGGCGATCAGTTCGGAGGGAGCCGCTCCATCTATAAGATTGCTGATATACTATCCTAGCGGATAGATCTGTGAAGGACTGACCGGAAGTCGACAGCAAGAATAAAAGTTCTCTCCAAATCGAGTCCTTCCTTATCTTGCTTCTCTTCGCTTTCCATCTTACGTAAAATCGCAGCAAATTCGGCATACGGTGCCTGGTGCTCGAACTGTCTCGCTTGCATACGAAAGGCTTCTGGTAAACGCGCCTAAGCATAACTCATTCATTAACAGTTCTTTACAGTGAGATTAGACCTGGGCTCAAGTTGATAACCTTTGTTGCTGAGATCCTAGCTAACTCCATAGCTCGAAGACACTCTGGATCTTCTGTACAAACACTGCAGTGAATTTCCTGAAGCATAACTGCAGCGATCAAGGTGACCAGGACCTCTGAACGCATCGGCTGTGCAGGTGTTGCCGAAGCTGCAATTGACTGCATTTTACATACACTTCTCCATAAATTTTGACCATTCGAAAAACTATTCTCTATGACGCTAGCATTTTTTGGGGGGAGGCGACAAAATTTGTTTTTTAGGACAGGGTGTGTGGTGGCACAGCGCTCCTCTCCCCTTTCCCCACCCCCCCCCCCCATTTACTCGCAAAACCAATTTAAAATTCCAAAAATCTTCTGTGTCTAGAAGCAGATCGTTTGCGAACTTTTGCAGCTCATGTAGGTAACCCTCAAAAATTTTGCGACTTATTCTCTAGGCGGCTTCTCCCCTCCCCCCCCCTCGGTCTACCGCTGCAGATACCGTAGTCCATACTAAGATAGGACTTGAAAAGGGTAGGTGTGATGATGTCTGATTCTTGTAAGTGAGGAGCATATAACATCGAAAGCCGCCTAAATCTTGTATCGTAGCGATAAGTTAAGTCGCTGGCAAGAAATGGGTTTCAGGATATGTTATTTCGCTAATAATAGTATATAAGGCTAGTCACCAGTTTTACACGGCAAGCATTCTTGTGCAGATTCACATTATGCTCTACAGAAGACAGAACGAAACGAGCAGTGGTTCACATTTTGCCCTCTTCGTCCCATTCAAACAAACCATTCCCATGCCTAATGGAAAAACGATCTTACCCCATAATGGTCTTTTGATTTTTTGATAGTCTCGGCTGAGTTTTTATCGACGCCAGAAACTGACACGTACATTCTATGCATGTCAGAACACTCATTCCACCAAGAAACTTCCCACCTCTGTATATACTTCATGATCGAAAGACCGCGAACCCCTAACGCATAGATATCTCCTCGGCTCGACCCTATGAGCGCGAACTTTTCATCTTCTCCAGATGAAGCTGAGCATTCGGAACACAGTGCGATCTCCATCGTTGTGTAAAAAGACGATAAGGGAATGGGAAGAAAGTCGATCTGTGGAGGAACGGAGGACAGCAGGCGCCCGGCAGGTGTGTATGTGAGTGTGTGTGTGTGATCGGGGCGAGAACTGCATCCAAGAGTCAGACGGATGGACCACGGATGAGACAATCAGAGCCATCCCCTCATATGCGCACACACGTGCTCACCGCTATCATTACCGCTGTAACTGATACATCACTGTCAATATTTTCATTCACTGCTGAGTGCAGATCTATCTGACTCGTCCTGTTTCTTTGCTAACTTCTTCTCATGCATCACACCTAATCCACAGCTTTCCGTTATTGCTGTAGTCCACTTACTCCACAAAATCTTAATGTCTTCCTTTCTGCTTATTATTTAGCCATACCACATAACATGCTCAGTGGTCTGATCAAAAACCACTGATTCGCATCTGCTCAGTTGAAATTAGTACAATCGTCAGCAGCACAAGATTATAGAGCTGTAACGAACCATTTTTCTCGGCAGGCATTCAGTCCATTTTGCAGAATGGACAGCATTCTCTGTTTCACACAAGCTCGTACGTCACGACTGTTGCTCTATCGGCCTTTGTAAACTTTATTTTGAAATCGGTGATCAAATACTGAAGATATATCAACGCATTGCCATGTTGAATTATTCTATCACAATGCTCATAGACTTGTTTGGGCCAGACTCCTACACAGTCAATCTATTTTTCTTCAGCGAAAAATTTAGCAGACCTCGCCCTGTGTTGGATCTCTATCCCGTGTACTAGCAGGGCATATGCCCAATCATGTCCGAACGTCTACGCGAGCGGGTAAGCTGAAGATTGCCTGTTGCAAAATTTTTATGGCTCACGTTGACAACTTCCAGCTCGGTTATTACTCAGAAGAGTTAGATGGCCAGATGCGATCAGCATCACCGGCCGGATCACGTTCGCCACGACGTTCTAGCCGTTCACCAAGACCGCCAAATGGGTAGGTTATCGTAACTTTTTTTGTATCCTCTGTGCCTTGCCTTTTGCACCCAGTCGTCTCAAAAAATCTGATTCATGGTATGCTCTCTGGACCCATGCCAAACATAGCTGGGTTCTGCTGTTAGAGAAAACTAGTTTAGTCATGTATTGATCATACTTGGAAAGGGGCGGTGCCTTCGCTAAACCATACGATTTTTGCATACGCTTCAGCTATAGATCAGTGTAAGAAGCTTCAAATTTTTTTCCCAACTTCGAAGGCTCAGAGGCCTCTGGGTAGGATGGATGGCGAGCATCACAGTACAATCCGTCCATCGGTGGTCATTGTTTGGGCGATGACACGCCAATATGTTACACCGAGAACCTACGGACACCTGATGCAGCTCGACAGCCTCACCGCACTCCCTCCGAAACACCTCACGCATCATCAATCAATAGCTATGATTTACTGAGGATGGGGAATATTTGATGAGTTAAGCGCAAGTCCCAGAATACGTTCTATTGTAAGTTGTTTGACCTGCAGCGGTAACAGTTCCTCAGAAAACAAGCGCAAACAAACAATGTGTGAATATACCGTAGTTTGCCTCCAGAAAGAGTGTTTGAAGCAGCCTAAGATGGGACCGGGGAAGAAGAGTATACATGGGAGGGAGGGACAAGGTCTAACACCAGAGAAACCTAAACCGGATTTACGCATGGACTTTATGTCTGTATAATGCTTGAGGACGAATGGTGATTTTGCAGAAGGGAATGACTTAAGAAATCTGTTCAGGAACATCTCAGTGATCAAGTTGGAAAACAGCTTAATTATCTATTGAACTACTATGCACGGCTAAAGCGTACTAGTCTACGCGCAAGATTTTTAAATTTTTGTTGAATGTGATTGAGCTTTTCCTCGCCCATGACATCTTTTCCAGCTTAACTGTCGATCAACGAACCCAGATTTTAGCGAATATGTATGTGATTACTCCTTACTTGCGTTTCTTCTGTATTCGTATGATATCAGTGTGCAAATCATCTCCAAATTTCTCTATCGAAACTAAAACTACCTAGGTCGAGGCATGGTTTTAGAGAACCAGCGATTGCGGTAGCGATACCACTCGTTCGTGATTCACGGCCTGATATCGCAGCTTGGCCTGCTCCACCGCAAAACGTGCCGTTAACTTGTATCAGCGGAAATGTACGGTAGGTGCCGTGTAACGCACGAAGGTTCTGTAAGAGCGCTGAGCGCGCGACTTTTCAGGACCCCTACAGCAGGACCACCCCGACAATCCATCTCACCAGTTCCTGTTTCGCCGACATCAAACAGTGGCAGTACTCAGGCAGAAATCGAAGATTCTACTACTTTACTAACCATGTTGAAAGTAGCTGCTGCATCTAATGCCAATGGTAGGATTACGGACAATGAACCACGAAAAGGCAACTGAGCTTCATTGAACTAAGTATCTCTGTAGCTGAGACCTCTTTTGCTTAGTGTTTGTATGACTGAGTTCAGACTCGTGTGCTGTAGGGTTTATTCAACAGAAAAGCAAAGGAATCCCGACTTTAGCAGTTACAGGGGTCCCTCGCGGCCGGGAAACTGAGTTGAAGCGAAAAATCCAGACGCTTGAAGAAACAGTAGCCGAATATGAACGGCAGAAGTACAATGTAATGGGAACCTTTAGCGAGTATAGGTATCAACCACTGCAAGCTCATATAAAGTAGGATATGGCTCCTTTTTCTAGAGAACGTGTGGCAGAACGTGAGCGCAAACTGGAAGCAGAATATTCGAGCAAAATCATAGCACTTTCTGAAGAAGTGCTAGGAGCGAAAAAGGACTTTGAAGCACGAATGAAGAGTTTTCAGGCGCTCCAGGTTTGTTTATATAGAGGAGATTAGGATAATGTTTTGATCAAGTCTAATGGAATACACGCATACGAGCCTCCTGGCGTCGCGAACCTACATAGGAGTAAATTATATGAAGTTATCTCCAGGATAAGTTTGAGCGTGAGAAGGAGCAAGCTCTAGAGAAACTCCGCCAAGAACACCAAAAGGAGATTCAGCTTTTGGAGCAACGCTTCTCGGAGTCACAGCTACTCAATTTGGAGCAAAAGTATGCACTTTAAATATCGCGAAATCCGTAATTCCTAGGTGAACATTTATTTAGGTATATGATTGAAATTCAAAGACTAGAAGAAGAACGAAAATCGCTACGATCGGAAAAAGAGCGTTTAGGAGAAACATTCGAGATGAAATTACGACGCGCGCAGTCACTTTATGAGACAGAACTTACAGCGGCTAAAATGCTCTATACAAAAGAGCTGGAAGCTCTCAGAGATCATGAAGAGGCATTGAAGGAGGAATTACTGGCAAGGTATGGATGCAAGAGTATACGGTTTCTGTTTTATATCTAGAATTTCGCCGCTACTAGATTGCCTAGTAAAAATGCATTCAGGCAGGATGAGTTCCACGACCGTCTTCAAGAGCTACAGCATCAAGCGCGCAGGAGCCGTGATGAGTTGGCCAGCTGCAAAAATGAAGTGACTGCACTGGAAAAGAAGCTTCAGTCAAAGGAAGCGGAGGTTCAGGCTATCAGCAAAGAGGTCGGCTAACAACATCTAACTTTCATAATCTATAAACCGCTAGCTCTCATAATCTGGTCTTCCTCCCTCATTTAGCTTGAGGACGCAAGAGCTGAAACAAACGATGCGCTCAGGCGCCTGTCTCAATCAACCAGTGAGTATAATGAACATAGGGCTAAGCTCCAACAACAAGAAGAGGAATTAAGGAAAAAATCTAGTGAGTCAGGATGCAAATTCTTTGCAACCACTTTCCATCTTCTCATTTCAGAACTGCTAAATGTGGTCGAAGCAGCAAAGACCAAGCTTGAAGGTGTCATTCGTGACCTTCAAACCGAAGTGCGAGCACTAAAAAACAAGGTACCCTCTATCTGAATAGAGATTGTGACGTTTCAAGTTTCCCAACCTCGCCTGTGATACCTGATTAGTGAATGCTTACGGTGACGCGTCAGTAAGTCCGAGATTTCTTAGAAAATCCGGACAGAACTCGAAGCATCAATCTAGTTAAGCAGAAACTCAAATGTCAACGCTGTAGACGTCTGAGCTGAGCATTTGTACACATCAAGATCGTACAGTCGCTGCATAGTAGTATCTCAAAATCATCGGCGTTTAAATTAGGGAGAATTTTCGGTGACCAAAGTGAGCTACTTAGGTTGAATTTCTGGAAAAAGAGCGCGAAAATCTTCAAAGCCAGAGCGAAAGCCAAACCAAGCTGCAGAACTCGCAAGTGAATGCCCTCGAAGCTGTGAGTTCTGAGGTCATCAACACTTATCACAACGTCATTACAGAGCTCATTGATTTCTTAAGGTTTTGGAAAGTGTTACAAAGGAAAAAGAAGCCACCAAAGAACACTACGAAAGCTTACTGGCGAAGGAGAGACAGCAGGCAAGCAATGACGGTGTCTTTTTTTGTTTAGCCCAGTCTTTTGAATACAGGCTGAAGCACGTGAGCATGCTATGAAGAAAGAGTTTAGCAGCAAGCTCAATGAACTTGAGGAGCAGTACACCAGTCTTAAAGAGGACCTGGAGCATTCGGCTAGGCTGGACAGGGACGAGCTAAGAGAGGCATGCTAGTTCTCGCTGAAATGTCTTGTTTCTCAACCATTTCTAGGCTACTCAGCATGAGATACAGACTCTCAAAACGGAAAAATCCTTGCTTGAGGCAGAGGTTACAGCGTTGAAGCAGAAATTTTTGGATGAAGGAGAGTCCGAGGTAAGTAGGACACTGAGATCGGTGATGAGTGTGAGAACAAGTACCTTGAAGGATCAGATCACGGAACAGCTCAGCGTCATAGTCAACGAAACAGCAGGACTTACGAGGACGCTCGAAGAGTATCGTTTGAGAATTAACAGTAAAGGTAGCTTTTCTAACCTATCGCACAGTTCGCGCCTTGCTAAACGCTTTTTGTGTAAGAATGAGATGTACACTTACGAAATACTCCACCCAAATTCCATGACCGTAAAAATCAAGGTATACTTACCACTTCTCCAGATGAGGAAATAGCTGCACTGCGTCGCCGTGTCGATCAGGAACAAAGCCTTTCGGAAGAACAAATCCGAGTCATCAAGGACGACCTAAGGAGCGAAATGTTGTCCTCAGACGAGTATCAGAATAATCTTATGGAAATTGAACGGTTGCATTCCGAGGTGATATCGATAAAAGCGAAGTTGCTCTTTGCCATGACATTGTTTTAGATCGCAACATATGAACGAAAGCGAGAGAAGGAAGAAGAGGCCGAAAAAGAACGAGAGAAAGTTGTCAAAAGACTGGAAGCAGAAAATAGGGAGCTAAAGTCAAAAGTATCCAAATTTGAACAGGTAAGCTCTCCTAGCGAGTCTTTACTTGTTAAGTACGAAAATGCGCGGACCTAACTTCTGGAGATGAAGGAATAAAAGATCGTCTTAGGGTCTTATTCCACAAAACACTTTTCGACGTTTATTTTCGCCCTACAAATGCTGGAGCCAGTACAGTCACTCATACTTCTTTTTAGAGCGATCAGCATGCAGAGCTGCAATCGCTAAAGTCCTCACTTGCCGAAAAAGAAGAAGAGCTGTACAGCGCGAAAGAAGATGCGGCAAAACTCAAAGGTTTGCAAAAAAGGTTTTCCAGAGCCCACCCTTATAGCAAAGTGATTTAGCTGAAAACGACGAACTTCACAAGGAAAAAGAAAGGACAAGAAATTCAGATGAAATGGTGTGCCTATCCGAAATTTTCAACAAGCAATTAATTGCAAGCTTTCAGCTGAGAGAAGAAATGGCTGCACTTGAAAGTGACAACAACGAAAAAACCATTCAAATTGAAGCACTACATGTACGGTCAGTCTGATTCTTGTGTAATAGTGATAAAATTTTGTAAGTCGAGTAAGTCGAGCGACATGGGTGGTGGAAAAGTTATTAATGCAGGGTAAAAGAGCTTCTTGATCAGATGGGTGGCATAAAAGAGGAGTTGGATAGGAAAAACGTTGAGTTGCAGCAGATCGGAGACCGATCCGAGATAAGGTTAGCTGTTTCCATTCTCTACAGTTAGTAAGTATTTTTGAAGGTTCCAGGTTCGAAAATCCAATTGCGGAAGCCGAGGAAAAAATGAAACATATGACTAAAGAGCATGAAAAAATTATCAATCAGATGAAGGTAGTTAGATATAAAGGTAGGAGTAGCTCCACACCACTATCGCCAATGTTCCAGCAAAGAGAACAGGAGATTGCACAACAAATGCAGCAACTACAAGAAGAAGTTCTAGGCAAGCAAAGTACGTTGCAGGAATCGAGAGTCTTGCTAGAGTCTCTAAAGGAAGAGTCTCTCAAAAAAGACGAAGCATTGAACCTGATGGAGCTCAAAATTAATGTGGGTACAGTTTTGTACACTTCGTTTTACAAAGCTGCGAATTACATTATCGACCTAAATATCGCAAAGAAGGTTCCTGTACAGTGCATTGATCATAAAGCTTATTTAGGAGCAAGAGAGTTTGCTAAGTGACCGAGAACAACAACTGGAAGAACAGCAGGTAGTGATCAACGCTCTGCAGGAAAAGCTGAAGGCTAGTACGAGTCAGCAAGAAGAACAGATGCAATCACCTGAGATAGCTACTAGTGCTGTTGCTGACACCGAAGAGGAGGAAGATGTGGAAGAAGAAGACGACGACGACAGGTAATCAGAAATATTCAGAGGAGCTGCAAAGATGTGAAGAACACTTATTTAGAACAGAAACTTCCTGCATGGAAATACAAACAGATCCTGTAAAGGCGCCATCCCCTGTACAGATCGTGGACTTGGCCAGGGAAAAAGAGCTGAAGTCAAGAATAGCCGAATTAGAACATGCCTTAGAGGTTTGTAGAGAACGATGCTCTCTAACAAAATGAACTTTCGCTTGCAGATGAAGAACGATCTTATAGAAAAGTTGCATGAACAGCTACCGGATAAGTCTGGCGAAGATATGTCGATGAAAAAGAAGGACAGATCAGTATGCTCCTCCTAGATGTAAGCTGTGACATCTGCTCATCGCTAGCATTCAGCAAAGCATCACGGGCGGTGGCGTTTTCCAAAATTTCGTGAGTCAAATGAAGGACAAACGTGACGAAGCCAACGAAAGAAGTAAAAAGAAGGAGGTGGAAAGGAAAGCAGAAAAAGCTGCTAAGGATGCTGCTCGAGAGTAAGTGAGTTGAATCGTGGGTGACGAACAATGACAGTGACAGTAGTGACTCCTTAATAAGTCCTCATTCTGCAGGCTTATCAAAGAGCGATCACCAATGCGTTCGAAGTCACCATCGCTGCTGACACGTCTTCGCGATCGCAGTCCTGTAAAGACCCGATCACCTGTGGATAATCTAGAAACAACACCATCGTCTTCAAGCAGGTACCTACAAAAGAAGCACTTTTCTACGTTATTTCTTCACAGTCCCGTAAATAAATGTGAGCGAGGTAGCCGCTCCACGGGTAAGATCTCTTGAGGAGACGTTGTGGATACTACTTCCATAATCGCGTAATCACCTGTATTTTTTACTCCATTTCTGGATACAGTCAAAATATTTGTACGGAATACCCTGTAGTAAGGATTGCAGGAGAAGAAAAGGGCAATGTGAGTCGGTCCTTCTTTTGAATATTGGCATTGCTGCCCCCCGCTTCCCCTTCCTACACGCTAGTTACTGAGGTCATGTAACACCGCTTTACCAATGAGTTCGCGCAGAAGACATCTTTTGGTTTTTGACTGCGGCATACCGCATTCAAGAGGAGCGGACAGTGCCCAAAAATAGCGTTTTTATGCAAAATCATAGGAATTAGTTAGGTAACAGGGTTGCCCTTAGACGTCTCAAATAAGACTAATCTTCGTTGAAGATGTTTACCTCAGTGGAAAAAACCCGTTCCCTTGAATAGTGAAGACGAAGGGGCGAATTTTGGTTGATTTCGATACCCAAAGTAGGATTTTTCATTCCACATGGTTGAGTTGTATTGCTGAGCTAGCTAAGGCGCCAAACTGTAAAGCAGCCGAGGAGCAGCTGAAATGTGTTGCGAAGTTAGGAGGCCATGGCCTGTGTTCTAGATGCAAAGCGGGTGTTTATACTTGTGATTAGAACTATTACAAACTAGGAAATAGTGGTCACAATAGCGTGAGCAGAAGAACAAAACAGATCGTTTTTATGAAATTTCTCCGAAGTTTCATTGCTATCGAATCCTGACACTCTGCTTCCTTTCCATTCGAAGATTTTTCTGCACATGGGAATCCTGATTCTAGGGTGGGAATGCTCTGACGAGTGCAATCCAACAAGCCCGTAAAAAGCCCCTCTGCTATGATCCTCTAAAATTGTTCTATGACTATTGTCCATATTTAAGATCCCTCTATATGGACAACAGTCACACACTGCAAAGCCCTGACAATAACATTTTGCATCCCCAGCCAGCCATGTTACTAACAAATTTTGAGAAATGAAGCATACAAAGTTCTAATGTAAATCCGCTTGATTTAGGAACCTCCTGGCCCCAGGGGACTCGGAACGCCTAGAACGTCGAGGTTCACCGTCACGACCACTATTCAGCCGATATCGCAAGGAGCCGGCCGAAAAACGACCGGCATGGAAATTTTGAGATCCCAGAAACAATAAATATACGAATAAATCCTATTGGATGCAGAAGCGGTACAATTGCAAATTGGAAACTCTCGTGTTCCAGTCATTCGCCTGTACATAAAAGAGGACTTGTCTGTATGCGAAATATATGCGTAACATGCATATTCGATAGTATTGATGTATTTCAATCTTTCTTTCACAGTGCGGTCAGTCGTCTGCTCTGACGATAGACATATGTGTTACCTCATATCACTGCAATAAAATTTACTCTTTCCAACAAGTATACAAACACAAATACAAATGACGCATCATCAGCATCTCATTGATCTCAAAAATGACAAAGTGAGATAAAGTACTCATTAAAAGGAGCAAGCCGCTAATGTATCTCAGGCACCACAACAGGGCTCAATTCAATGTTATGACAATAATGTATCGTAAATGATCTTTACAACACTACATCAGATCATGCACCCAACAGTAATACATATAGACGATCAAAGGTAAAGAACTATAACAATCTGAGAAAAAAATGGAAAAAATAAATTAAGGAAAAGTGCAATTTTGCCGTCAAGTGCAAAACATGACAGCCAGTGAGTGTGCATAAGTCAAAAAAGAAAGAACAAGAAAAAAATGACTAGAGCGACCTGCTTGAGTGAAGATGAAATGAATATGCGCAATCCTGGTAAGACAACAGTTCCAATTATTGACATCTCAATGGTAAAGCACGTTGAAAGACTCATCATGTATGATTGCAGAGATAAAATGCAGATTAATTACTCCCTAGGTGCTGGGCTTCTGTGCGCACTTCGACGCTTCTTTTTCACGTCGCGCTGAAAATGGTACGCTACTAATGGTTCCCGTCTTTTAGAGCAAATCGTAAGATAACGTAGACGCCCAAATACACCTTGACACAGTCGAGAGACCTCGATAATTCAACAACTGAACACAACACACTAATATGCATCACAACTTAATAATGAGCAATCTATGAATGTCATGATACGTAAAACTTGTTATACTGTAGCAACACTTCCACACGCAAATTCAATAAATCAACGGAATGTTAACAGTCTGTGACTATATAATAAATTACTATCAAATATTAATAACGCTAATATTAGCCAAAAAGTGAGCGGTTCAACAGATGAACAAAAAGACCAGTGTTAGCAAGCTTGACTAAACTCACACGAGACTAAGAGATCTCAAATGTAACGTTCAGGCGGCTGAAGTGCAAACTGTAATGATTACAGTGGACCGTTCACGATTTTGAAATCTACAACAATGTAGTGGAAGCTCTGAGATTTTTTGTTTGCCTTGAAAGCCCTTGTGTACAGCCCATAGGTAAGTTAGTGAGCATGCAAAAATCAGTTAGTCGAGGGCGGCACCATTACCGGATGTCGCAGCTGAGCCGGGGTGCGGTACTCCGATACCAGCACAGCGAAGTGCTTTTCGAGAACCTAAAATAAGAGATGCAGCAAAGTGGACCACTCCCCGAACTTTGAAAGCATGCATGCGAGATAGTAAGTAAAGTGAAGAGTCTTGACACACCTGCCGACCATGTTGGTCTTGGGGACTCATCTGTAGTGAGAGAGCGAAAGCCTGGGAGTCGAACGTATCGTCTTGAGCAATAAGAGCACCGTGAACGCCGCTGTCGGTGAGGTTTCCAGCGTACGCTCCAAGACCAATCTCTTCCACCCACCGCTGCACTCGCTCATTCGACCATACCAAGAGATCTGTATTGCCAGTCTTGATCCATATGCACATTTGACACGACAATTACCTCGATTCACTGTTTCACACGCTCTTCTCCTGTCCTGTAGCGTTTTCCGATCGTAATTCAGTTTCTTCAAGCACATGATGCCGTACTGTAAACTGGCCCTATGAAAGTTGTCCACCATTCGCAGATGGGTTCTCAAATCGCGTTTTGACAGGTGTTCCAACATTCGCGCATCCAGAAGACATTCCATAAAAGCGGACCTGCAAAATGATGGAGATACTTGGTTGTATTCCCTTTAGTTCAGAGTTCACTCGCGACGAGACCTCAAAATCACTAGTACCCAAGTTTCCAGTGAATAAGGCATGCTAAGATCCAGAAGAACTCGCTTTGGACCGGCCAACACGATCATAGTTAGAACAGTCATTTGATAGAAGCAAGGGTGATATTTTTAGCAAAATAAAGTACGATGAATTGTCACGCTACAGCATGAATGTGAAGCAAAATTTGGTGCTTGTATCCAGGTCGAGTGGACGAGAATGTAAACCGCACCTGTACTGCCCGAGACCTAGGCTTGGCAGCCATTCATTTCCTATCCACTCATGATTCATATCCCCAAAAGCTAAGGTCATCCGAGCCGATCGAGGAGCAGAAGGTGACGTTAACGAAACCATTTCCTACAAAACATGCGCGGGATTTACAATAGACCTTCAACAAACCCATACCTGGATTGCAAGCCGTAATTTCAACCTATGAAGAGGATTACTGATGCCAATTTCCCGCTGAATCTCCTGATCACTCAATGCCGACATTATAGCACCGGACTGCAAGACATTTGAGAATGATTGCACTTACTAATAAAAGGGAAGGACTTACTTTGACGTTGGCACGACAAGCAGCGACGTACCAAGCTGGCATGCCTACCCATAATTCCAACCACGCAACTACAGTCGGTCCATTCCATAACGCAAAAGGGGTTCGCGCTTTCATCGCCTGAAAGGGAAGAACTTACATGGTGATACCATCTGTTTATTATTCCCATGGCAGCTTGAATGACCGAGTCACTATGTAGGCACGCCGCATATACACACATCAGGGCATATAGTATCATAAACAGTCAAAAAAGTGTAGAAAACTCGATATCCTTTAAACTTTTCGCAAAGCACCCGAAAAATTGCGGAGAACGGGGCCCAACAATTGGAGTAGCATATGCAATCAGTTCAAAGTCAATAAAAAGGGGAGGTCACGAAAGACGCAAAGTGTTTACCTCTTCTAATAACTCATGCTTTTTCTTTTTCCGCCTGTCGAAGTCGCCGTTTCGACCGGAACCATCGTTTCCGGACGAAATCTCGCTATCGGAATAGGCGCCCGCATCCCTTCTAAACCAGATAAGTTTGAACATGCACAAAGAGCATGTCCAATCGCACCTGTACGTGTCACCCTGAGATTTTTTCTTGTTGAACAATCGACCCAATGTCTTTAGACCGCCGGAACTTGATGATCGTTTCTTCTTCGTTGAAAATCCATCAGTAGACGAAGCCACTGACGAGGCTGGGCTCATGCGATCCGCTTCGTCAAAACGACCCTGCAAGCGTAATCTCTCAGCTCGATTCGCATTTACCACATATGCAGAAAAGTACTAGAGGTGGATTGCAAACCTGAAGCTGCTGTTGGACGTGATCAAGGCGAAGCTGCCGTCTTCTGGGTGTGTAGTCCAAATCCCCAACCATAGAGTCGTCAACGATCTTGAAAACGTTTACGAACAGGTCATTAGAAATTTCTACGACGATAAGCGTAAAGTTACCGGATGCCCATACATATCCATGTCTCTTGACATATGAGAAGTGGATGCGTTCGCAGGCAACTAAAACACCGCTTGACAGATGGCATGATTCAAAATGAAGACAGCGTATTATATGATCGCAGTGTATCAGTTTATGGGGAAACATGACCTCAACACATTGTAGGCAAATCACAACATGAAGGAAATGATCTAAGACAAAAACTATTAGGTTGTAAAGTTAGTTCCCGGGCACTTCGAAAATTTTTTTCAAATCGCTGTAACTTTAAGCAGATTGATTCTTTTTTGAAGCTACAAACTTCATTGCAAAGACAATTTTGTTCACAACATATATTTGTCTCGCTGGCTTTTCACCACCTCACTAAGGTCCACCAGCATGCGCAGAAGGAAAAAAGGTTGCAAAAAGTGGCCTGTTTGTGCAGCATTATCTCAGGCACGATGAAAGCTGAAGAGCTCAAATGCTGAAGTTAATCGTATTCTTATTAGTTATTCTGTTGTTCTTATTCTTATTAGTTATTCTTATTCCTATTCTAGAAATTCTTTGAACTGCACAAAAAATGGCCGTAAGAAGAAAGAATGTGAAATTTTTATGGTTGGAAAGATTTTCCTTTGATGTGCAGATCTAACACGTCTTGGCACCGATAAAAGTCAGAAGGCGCATTGAAAACTTCAGGCTTTCCTCTACTGAACAGTATAAAAAACTTGGTGTCAAAGTTTGACCGAGCGCCGAAAAAATGCGTTTGAAAATGAAATTTTCAAAAGTGTCCGGAACTTTCTTTACAACCTAATATTACTCGCTATTCTTAATAGAAAAATTAAGAGCTTACAGTGTTGTACTTATTGATAAGAAAGTCATGTTGAGGGCTGTTACGAGGAGTACTGCGAGCACTGAGATGGTCCTCCATAAATTCATTTCTGGCTCGAGATTCTAGATGTTCAGCTGCTCTTTCTGCATGATGCTTCTCTTGTTGTATCATTCTGAATTTGAGCAGTTCTCCGAAGGTAAAGTCCTATTCGAATACTATACTGATTAGAAACCAACCTTATCTCCGAATTTATCGCATCGAGACGCTCTTGTAGCATGGAGGCAAGCACGTGTGCGTCTTGCTGTCCCTACACAGGATCAAATCGAAAACTTAGGAAGGCAGTAATATTTTAACCGTTTCGAAAATCACCTGCTGCGGCATGGTATTCATGAGGAGGTCCGGCTGCTGAGAGGACTGCTTCTGAGAGGAACCGCGCGGTAAGGTACCAGCACCTCCCATATCCAGCATGGACGGGGAAGATGAGAAGGCCTATAACGGTTAACAATAAGCGACAAGTAAATCGAAAAATGGTAGCAGTAAACTAAAATAAAAACTGTGACCTGCTGAACATTGGCAAGAACATGTGCCTGTTGCAATCGATCCCATTCTTGTTCATTGAGTGTTTGAACCTTACTTGGATCTTCCTAAACCACGACATTTCAAATAGTTAGTACGTGTGCAAGAAGGCAGGAACATTTAGTCTTCGATAAATGTTTGTACTTGTCAAGAATTTTTCAAAGCTCCCATCCACTACCAGTTAACGCTTCTCAGCATAGATCGCATCACGAACACATAGTAGATTAATGTTATCAAAAACTAAAGAAATGGGGTTTAAAAAATTTGTGACAGACACCCGATGAACATGCGCAAGCCACAGTCGATCACAGAATAATACAAAGAAAAACGAGTTTTGATAGAATTACAAACCTGCAATGCAGCAATCCTGCCTTTATTCGGCCGCCGAACTCCGACGGTGGCATAGCCGGGAGGGGTAGAGTTCGTGTAAGAGCTCTGCGCAAATGGTTGAGGAACGACGGTCTGAGGAGACGGAGCAGCAATACCATTCGGTATGACGAGAGGAAGGGGTGGTGGTAGAACTGCGTGCATCCTAGAAGTACGATACCGAGATCAGTGGAGTAAACCCAAGACTTACAACACATACGCATAGCTATTCTATCAAAAAAAAAAAAAACAACAATTTCAATTAGATGAACCTTGAATGAAACTGCGCTGTTCGCGCATTGTACAGTTGCTGGCGTAAAGCTTCGATTTCCTGTCGCAGAGCATCATTATCACGTTGAAGACGCTCTTTCGTCCTTTCAGCCTGGAAAATTCAGTACTACACAAAACTTGTCCAAGTAACTCCAGTGCAGTAAAGTGCACTGGTGAATGAAAAGACTGATATCACAATCGCAAACAGCAAATAAAGTTTTTGAGCAAATCTGTTTGCAAACCTGATCGTAGATTTTCTTCGTGTTCTCTAGTTGTTGGGTAAGACGATTCTTGTCGTCCAAAGCTTGCATGCGCTCTTTCAGATGTAATTGCAGACGATCATTCGACTCAGACAACAGCTAAAATCCTCTCGATTTCTCACAGATGAACGAATTCCGGATAACCTGAGGAATGATGACCTTATCAACAGTGCTGCTCAAGCGTTGGCTATGTTCCTCATTCATCTTTTCCCTCTGGACAGCTCGCTCGAGTTCAGCTGATGATTCCAAAGCCTGTCGCTCCAATCGCTGAACCCGTTCTTCAGCAGAAAGTTGTTTCTAGAGATAGATCAATGATTACGGAGATTTTGTCTGGTTTTATCGAATTTCAACACCAAATAGCAGTTCCACAAAAAAAACTATTGAGACTAGGAAAAAGGCTCACTAAACGAACCTGCTCAGCGGCAGTCAGTGCTTCCATTCGTTGTTGTAATTCTGCCTCGACAGATGGTAGTGATTCCGCCTTTTTGAGACTCTGTGCAAGTTGTTTCTCGGCCAGCTCAAGACGTTCTTGTAGTGAGCGAACTTTTTCTTCGTTCAAACGCACAGCTGCATCTTTGTTGGCCAACTGAACATAAAGCATCAGTTTCAACACCATGACCCGCAACTTCCAAGTACTAAGCTGGAATCATTTTCGTGATTGGAAACAGACTATGAATGAGTGGGACAGGCATGTTGGTATTGGTAAGAGGAACAGCTAATTACATCGCTAGCTTCGCGACGATTACACTCCTGATAATGCGTTCTTTTCATTAACGCATACATTCAGAACGATAACAAATTCCCCAATCCTAAAGTTAGTCTTGGGTGACATAACTGGAAGATGAATGCTTGAAACCGCGTAGATTTAAAAGAAAACATGCTGAGATGTGCAACAATCTGCATCATCCTTTCCTCTATAACATAAGATATTTGCCTGATGTTCGAGCTTGTCGTTCAAGTCACGGATGCACGTTGCTTCCCTCTGCGCCGACAGAAAACGGCTTTCCAGCGTTGAAATTCGAGCCTCCTGGTCGTTGCGTTGTGCTTCAGCCTGAAAATGCAACAAAAGTGCACTTTCGGCAAGAGCTCTCTCGTGCCTTTGGGAAAAGCGCACATGCGCGACTTCAGTGCCCAGACTAATAATGTAGGAGCGTGAGAATGAGATGGATTTTTGCAGCGTATGTGTGGTTCTACAAAGGGTAAGTAGTTTGGCTCAAAATCGGATGCAATGGGGCATTTCTTGGAATGGCAGTAAGGAGACTAAACGAAACTGCTCACTTCATGCAACTGATTTTTAACCTTCGTCAACTGCTCCTGGCACGCATGCGTGTCCTTCTGAGCTGTTGAAAGCTGAGCTTCCAATTCAGAATTCCTGAAAGACACCAGTTAGGATGAGGCGGAGTTCACAAAAGAAGATGGCTTTTACATACCTTGCACTAAGCTCCTGAACTTGTTTCAAGCTATTAGTCAACTCGACTTTCATTCGTTCGCAAGCTTCTTGCATTTCGACCAGGCGTGCTGCTGATTCGCTACTCAAAGCACCATTCGTCTTTTGGCCTTTGGCCTTGAAATGCGATATATAAAAATATGGCAGATAAAGATACATAGTATACAAAAGGTAATGCGAATGTATCTCAGGCATTCGAAACTCGAATAGAACTCAAATATGCGAAAGCTAGCGTAGAACTTCGTAACTAGAAACCATATGGATCTAGTAGTACAATTCACAAACTAGTACGAATGCTGGACTACCACTGTTTTATTGAAACTTTACGGCATAGAGCTGCCTACATTTCCACAAAAACGAGCACCATGGATAATAACGCATTTAAGTAAAAACATACCTGTGCTTCCTCAGCCTCGGCTGCAACCATGGCGAGTCGTGCTTTAAGCCCCGAATTCTCCTCACCTTTCGATGTAAGTTCTTCTTCCAGAGTGGCCACGCGTTCCATGGCAACTCTCAAGCGTTCTCTGACCTGAAGCAGATCATCTGTACAGCATTGCCTGACGTCTATTTCCTGTAGCGTATCATACCTTCTCATCCAAAGCCTTATGGTGTTCAAACAAGCTTTTTAGAGCTTTTAAGACTTCTACTTCCGATGAGACCTAAACAAACGAGTTAAGTCTCGCAGTTCCATTCCAACCAAAACAAGTCTTACCCCAGCCGGGCTCTGAGCTTGCCGTTTCATTACAGTAACTCGTAATGACCTTTCGTGCCTAGATACAAGGCATTCCAGATGTTCTAGTAACAATCTGGTGTTGTTTCGTTCGGCCTAAACATATGCCAGAGAATAAAAGCGACAGCAAGACTTAGTACATGATAGATGCGGGGAAAGAGACTGCACGCTGAAACTTGCCTTGAGTTCGACAATTTCTTCATCTTTTTCTAGTAACTGCTCGCGTATCTGGACAAGCTCTTTTGTCATCGATTGCAATTCCTAGAACAAATCATTTTTTCGTTTTTTCCGACAATCGAATGTACTTGTGAGTGATTATAGGAATCGCTGCGAGCGACTTATTGTGGAAAAATTGCAAGCATATCAGCGTTTTTGCACTTCATTGTGACTTATGTAACCCAAGCCAGCGGACTTTTGAAACATATGGGGCCACTAAAAGCGAGACGAACCGTTGTCGCTGCTGCCGCTACATCAGCATCATCGGCAACGGATGCATCACCCGTCATCGCTCATCGTCGTCAAATAGTTAGGCGAATCAGGTCAGGCGTAGGATCTTGAGGAAGAAACAACCGCACTGTGTCTATTACCTAGTCAGCGACTGGACCTAGTCAATAAGGAGTGCGCCTCACAAGGCTAATAAGAAGCGGCACCACATATCCACGTGCTCATGTACTACATATGACCAAGAAGTCTTCAAAAGGTTCCCTTGGGGTTCAGAATAGAACTGCCAAAAATTGCGCTACTTCTGGCATAGCAGTGAAAGGAAAAATGCACAGTGATCCACAACCTTAACTATTATACTGCACGCTGTGTACGGAGAGACTACAAATCAATTTTATCTCCCAATCCACTGAACGCAATCCTCCTCTGACTCTTTCGCAACATCAACGAGCTCGAATAAATACGAACCAAATTCACACATAAAATTCCACACGCGCATAATGCAACTCAAATAACAGATTAGTATTGTCAAAAGAACAACGAGGAAGCCGCTTACGTTGGGTAAATGTTGCGTATGCATTTCGAATTGACGCCGGAGACTCTCCTTCTCCTTCTCGAGATCGCGCACTCGTTGGTTGCTTTCATCTATCTGTCGTTTGTACTGTTCCAACTGTTCTTGCAACTTGTCGCGATCTTCAAGCATGTTGACCATGAGCTAAAGCGGAGACAATGCTAAACAGGAGCAACAACTTTAGCTAAGCAACCCTTCACCTGCTCGATGTTGGCGTCGTGCGAATGATCATCATTGGTGGTAACATTGTCGACACCATCTTCACTGATCGTCGGCATCACATCGCACATCATCGCACCATTATTCCAACTCATCGCCCTAAATCACGATAGTGGCGAACGGACTGAAAGCAACGAAGTGATAACAGCTCATAATAAACATGTAACTCTGAGTGCTAATTAGAGCTTTACTGATCAGATTTTCTAAACTTACTAGACAGCGAAAGCTGACATACTTACCTCTACAACCTCCCCAGCGCGTTCGAACAATCACCAGAAATCTTTACAATCTCTTTCTGTCAGTGTGTGGCCCTACTGCGCCTCATTTGTTGCAATACAACAACGTAAAAACACTTGAAAGAATGTTTGAAGTAAGAGTTGACAGCGCGAGTCCCAACGTAAGTCGGTACTGTCAAGTGAAGTTGGTTGTCTGATTAGGTTATGTTCATGTCAGCACATGCTCATTACTGGAATTATGAAATGTGTCAGCAAAACTGGAATCTGATAAAAAAAAAGATCACACTTAATCATCAGAATAGAATGCGCAGGCATGTTAGATGCCACATCGCGATAACAATCAAAGAACGGTTCGGTAATTGAGCTTCCACCAAAGTGGTTCTCATCCAAAAAAGAAAAACGAAGTCATCTACAAAACGTAGTCTACGGCAGTATGACAAAAACACTAATCGCTCCAAATACAACGGTTCTCGAGGCAACTTTTGTTTCGCGACTCGGGCAATTTCACCCGCTTTGGTAAAGATTGTGGATACAAAAACGCTCGAGCAGTTGCAACAAAACAAAAAAACGAACTGAATTTTCCGGACCCGAAAATTTCTATATCACAAGCGAACACGTTTCTAGCGGGATGTCCTCAACGTAAACAAGGCCTGCTGAAGGCACTCATTCGGTTGTGCGCGCTTTCATTGTAGGAATGCGGAGAACGAAGGCCTGAACGTTGTAACCCATTGCGCATGGTGTCAGTTCTACGATCGCGAGCGACGAGAAAAGTGTGAAGAGAGCGCTCATCGGCGCAACGCAAGTGCATAGAAATTCTCATTCTTTTTGAATATTCATGAATCTTTTAACCTAGATTTGTGCTCTAACCGGATCTCGGACAAGACATTACGGAATCAAACGATAATGAGACATGGTGAAAGGAAACAAAAAAGAAATTAGATGCTCACGTCAATGAAGATTGGGCGTCGGATTTATGAGCGATGTGGGACTGGTTACTTCATCGCTGTGATGACGATGTTGGACGTGGGGGCGTTCAGCCAACAGACACGGGTAAGATGCTGAAAAGGGCGAAACCTAGTGCACTAGTCACTGGACGCTGCAAAGGATGTGGTACGGTGAACAATGGACGACGTTACGGTGTTCAGTTATGAAAGAATAGTAAGAAGAATTCAATGCCAAGGCTGATGAAAAGAACAAAACTCGGCGACGACGGTACGAAATTGACGAGAATAAAATTCACACTGTGAAAAATTCTGCAAATCCAATGAAAACTGAGCGGAAGATGGTCGTGATAACATAGAGGGGTAGTCATTAACCATAGCAAAAAGATGGACTGAATGTATGGTAGCCGTTAACCATAGCAAAAAGATGGACTGAACGAAAAACCATACGAGCGAGAGCATAGCATAACGAAAAGGATCACAAAGCAGATCTTCACTTCAAATCAATCGACAAAAAATGACACGTCAGAAATATGCAGAGCAGAATCGCCAAAAAAAGAATGACAGACTACGAAAACGTACCTCGCCAGCACACTTAACAATGATGTGATGCTCTTCAAAGATTAGATCACTCAAACAGTTCGTCTTTTCATCTGATAAACAAGACCGAAAAGCATGCTGAGAGTATGACTACAAACTTAACAGGTATTACAAAAATAGGACAGTGATTTCCGCATAGATTCATCGATTTAATCGAATAGTTATAACACAGAAAAACGACATAACCACTGTTTTCACAAATGAGCACAAATAGTATCTTAATAGGAAGATGCGGATGATAATGAAGCACTTTGTATATCTCTAAAAAGATTTTGTATTATCTGCAATGGGATCAAGAGTGCGGATATCCGCAAGATGCTCAGCCTAATGCACAGTTCCGGAGTAGAATATGAGACATATGACAGAGAGCGTTTGCAAAAATCGTAGGATTTCGCACAAGACTCCGTTCTCGCAAAGACACATAGAGTGGGAAACATCGACTATAGTAAAGCTGTAATTCCGGTAAGCAAAAAAAAATTACAAAGTCAAGAGGACTGCTCGCGTCAAATATGTCTTATTTGTATTCAGCAGCAGTGTTCAGCGGCTAGAGAACCTTCTCGTTAACACAACATACCCGATCAGCGCAAAAACAGCCTGATTCACAAAACTGTGCCCATATATTTTACAAAAAAAGTGTTATGCTGCACCAACCAGGGCCCCACTTCACTGGCATGAGTCAAAAAAAAAGTCCGCAAATCGACCTGCATAAGTTGCAGAAATGAAGCATGTAGAAACATTCAGCGGGTTCAGCTATAATTCGCTGGGTTCTTAAGCAAAGGCACGACCGTGCATATCTAGCGCGAGCCAGCGCTTGATAGCCAGCTCTCCGAGAAGCTGCGGCAGCTAAAGCCAGGCAGCGGTCAGCGGAGTGCCTTCCTTCGGACATAACACACACATATACTTGCATCGATCGTCCTCAGTCAGGCCACACTCACGGACAGCCACAGCGTTGAGGCAAAGCAGCGAACAGGGATCAGCCGGTTGCTTTTGACTCGACCCTCGCTCGCCGCTGATCATTCCTTACACCCGAATGACTCGCAATAAACGCGGGACACGCAATAAAGGTATTTGTTCAAGTGCGAAATTCGAGGTTAATACTTTCGTTAGACAGTAAAGAGCCTTGTGAGAAATGGTTGGACCAGAAAGCTGAGAAGCTCGCTGTTCAGGAATTTGTACTTGGCATGCATTCAAGAATGCCAACACAAAGTTCATCTCTTCACAGTTGTTAGTTAACGCTATGATTACACACAAAATGCACCTAGTGCAACCAATTAGTCATGGACAGGCTGGAATGCGTGAAGATCCGTTAAAAAGCCAAACAAAACTTATGGATTTGCAGTGGTAGTGAATGAACGCAAAGGAAGTTCGTGTTTGATGATGAGTGAAATATAATAGGGATAAATACAAAAGTTCAGAAATGACAACGACCTTTCACGCTAGCAATCAAAAACGAAGTTGCAAGAACACAAATGCAGGCACATTATTTTAATTGAACGGATACAAAATAATCCTTCTAAATTGAAAACTAGCACAGAATTATATCATCACGCTCCGTAAATCACAAATCCGGCGGGTTTTTGGATACAAAAGAAAATACTTCATAATACTCAGCGAATTTACACAATAAAGTTTCAAGAGCATGAGGTCCAATTTGAGGAAGATTGAATAGATGGGCTAAGCCCGTTCTCAGCGCACCGCTAAACGAACTAAGACTTGTCTGAAGACGACGTACAGTACTGTCGGAAAACCAAGCACCAATGATAACAGATAACAGACTAAACGATACAGGAAAAAACAGCCTAGCTTACAATGACCTGCAAATTTCGCATGCAGTATTCCGGTATAATCGGATATCGTTGCTGCGTCAGCTGCGCGACCGCGCGCGCGTCGGCTATATGGCAGGACCCCCGCTGTGCTCCCTCTGTACATATTTTCTTGAATTAAATTTGGGTCCTCTACGGAGGAAACGAAGAGATTATGGGAGAATTATACACTAGATGAGCGGCTGTATCCAGAAAATTCACCAGTTAACATGTTTATTTGTTTTTTTTTTGAGGGTTAAACCTGTTAGACGAGGTGAGTGATAAAATTTCATTGGGCACTTTGATTCCATTACTAGAATTGGTTGGGGTTTAGAGGATATCGTGTAAAATCCCTAATTATCTGAAGAGAGACGACATGGACGGGGGATGACATCGTCTCTATTGCAACAGCAACGGAAAACCAAGGTATCCGAGCGCAGAGACTTTTATAGGAACAGGGCGTTGGTCGAATTCCTTATTCGAATTGCTTGTCTTACGAGGGACTGCTCTTCACTTCCGGTAATCAAGAACCTATTCTTTTCCATGTACATCTTCACAAGGATGTAGTTGAAGAATCTTTCACAGATACCAGATGCGTCGTCGATACGATGAAGGGATGACTTCTCACCTCACAACCTAGCGGAGTCGTCGAAACCCGCGTTTCAAGCAAGATGCCCGGCTTCCACCAGAAACCATTATGCGCCGGATTCCGGCGCTGACCCTAACTACAGTATATAGCCAATGCGATCAAGAAAGGCGACATAGCTGCCTCTTCACACCTTATTATCTTGCTTATCACATCATGGAGACATCCTGCGACTTATGGTTTGCTGGTAGTTTGGATTGTGATTTTTTATTGAACTCCCTCTCATACATACTATTCTAATACTCATCAGTATCCCTCTATAAGCACGCATATGATAGTGAAATATACTGATGATATTGATGTTCCTCTTGTATATATTTTAATGATGAATGAACCAACAAAGAAGTAGTTATGTCAATAACTGTTGCTACGAAAATGGAATGGCGTTATAAAGCGATTCAAAGAAAATATTTGAAAAAAACTTTTGTTTTACTTCATTTGAAGTGAGGAACGGGAAAATTTAGTCTGTTCACCGGAGACGGTAGATTTTCAACTCACTATACCCGGAATAGGTAGGAAGGAAACAATAACTTGGATCTACAGTGTTAGAGCAAAGAGATTGAGAAACTCTTCTGGCCTCAGTTCAGGCAACTGCTGAAGAACTGTGGGCAGTTCTTCGATTGCAGAAGAAAAGATAACGTTGAAAAGAACACGTCATGTACTCCGAAAGAACCCATCTTTGTTCTAGCAAAAGCAGTGTTCGCATTCGAGTAATGATTTTAGGTGTTGTTATAGGACATCTTGTATGTTTGTACGTACTGTAAGCGAAGAGAAAATAGAGGACTTGAGAAATGAGTTTGTCCCCAACAAATTTCTGTGCTCTTCGAAACGACACTACTGCACATAATCAAGCATGGCTTTATACGGAGTGAATCCTCATCAAACAGGGTAATACTATAGGAATGTTAGACCTCGGACAGAGTTCATGCGATTTCATCGTCGCGATTCATCGCCACAAGACAACTGTTACAAATTCATTGCATGCCGATCTTTTTGCATTTCGGTTGTGATGGTTAGTCACAACTAGTCGTGTTGGAAAACTATCACAGCTGAAATGGAAGAAGATCGGACTTTCGCTAAACAAAGATGGGTTCTTTCGGAGTACATGACGTGTTCTTTTCAAGGTTATCTTTTCTTCTGCAATCAGAACTGCCCACAGTTTTTCAGCATTTGCCTGAGCTGAGGCCAGAAGAGTGGGGAACGGCCCTTTTGAACCGAGTGCCGTGGCTGCGCTTTTCCGATTGGTCGACACCACTGCTGCTATTGGACAGGAGGCGGGGCAAGGGCGGAGAATCGGACGAGCTCTCTGCACACGCATTGCCACTCACTTTTCGCACACTTGTAACGCGCAACACGGCGAAAAGTTTTGGAATGATGCCAAAATTCGATATTCAGGCCTAATTTTACATTTTGTTTGTGTTTTACACTTGGTTGGAGTCTTTTGAAGCCCCAGTATGTGTTCTTACCCGGAACTAGATCAGTTTCCGAGGCTGTGGTCAGGTGAAAGTTGTAGATTTTGCTAAGTGACCTCACTTTCTACGTTACAGTCAAAGTTGCCTTTATAACCGCACTATTTTCTTGGACTAGATAGAATCAAAAAAGATACTTCCTCACTTTTTCTGCCCATAAATGCAAAGCAGCTCCCTTTCGTGACTTACGTCCCCTTTAGTTCATGTCAACGCAATATATCGCTCCGATTTAGAATGGTTTTCAAATCCGCTCCATTTTCACCGTTCGTCTGATGTCTGTTGTGTCTGTTTAGCTCTTCAATGTGGCTTCCCTGTTTCCCAACGTTCCATTCTGCTCAGGTCCACTCACCGGTCCTACCCATTTCGGTCTGATTCGTCTCAACCAGCAACTCGGTAAGATTTGAAGATAAGATTTGCCTTGGTAGCTGTCATTATGATTGAAGAATCTGCCCTTTTTTGATTTCAGCTTTCGGAGGCTCTGTCACAGCGCCAACCGTGCTAAGCTTCTTGCTTTCACGTAAGTACTTTCCGAATGCTTGTTTGAGAGGTCGTCAGACCGTTTTGTTTATACGAAGATGTTATGATTCCATGAGTTTTGTGGTGACAAACTAAGCAAATAGGTGCTTGTGTTTTTCTGGTTTTTTTCTTAATGTAACGCATGTATAATCGATTCGTTGACCGCATGGACTGGACATCACTGCGGAGCACGCGCCGCACGTAAAACGCTTGCCTCAGTACAAATTTGCTATTGTACAAGTCGCTCTCGCAACGTTTCCGCGCTGCGCACAGTTCGTAGCGTTTGTGCAGTCCGTGTGGTCAACGAATCGAGTAGCAATTACCCTAAATCTGCGCTTCGCCAAATTTGCCCAACTCTTCTTGATCTTTCCGGCAATTTTGCGACGTCGAGCCCACGTTTCGCGGCGTGACCACGATTGGAACAGACTGTAGAGGTGTTGTAACACTATCGCGTATTTTTTTAGTCACGTCAGTACTACTTTAGTCACAGTCATTGAATTTTTGTCTTTTTGCGTTCCAAATTCCTTTATGTTTGCTGGTTCATCTGCTCAGCGGTTTCCTTGCAATGTTCATAGCTTTCATAGCTCGTCGATAGGGGACTCGCAGATTTGATCAAGTCTGTTTGCAGGTCGAGCACTTGCAATCGAAGATGATGGCTGCTTGTCGGTTGTGTCGCAGCGAAAGTTGCCGTGCAGTGCAGTGCATTTATGATTCGTTGATTCAGTCAGACAGTCATGGTGTTGTAACTGCAGTGGAAATATTCGTGTCGTTGAGCGCAACGAACTGACTGCACATTGCGGAACACGCTTCGCGTGGCCGAAATTTGTACCAGTGGTAATCGTAACAGAAGTCGTTCTCTCGTGACAGATACAGCCGCGCCGCGCGTCCTCCGCAATGTACAACTAGTGTGCGGTCAACGACTTGACATGTACAGTAACTTTTGAATAATCTGGTTGACCCTATCTTGCGCGTTTCATAACAAAGTAGATGTAATCATTTTTTTCGGACAAATGAGAAATATTTGTCGTGCAGCTCATCATGCAGTTTCCTCATAATGCCATTGTGTGTCATAAGAACCAATCGTCTATGAGTTCTGTATGCGTTTTATCAGCACCTTCTGTCGTTTCCTATTCATTACTAGAGTTCCCATGATTGCAATACAAGTTGTAGTATCCTGTGTGAGTCACAATATGCTGACTTTGCGCTTAGGTGGCGAACATCGCCTGAGCGTTTCTTATCTAACACACGGCCCATTCGCCTGAGATTGCTCTATCTTTTATATGCTTCTTATATTTTGGACGTTGCCGCAACATGACTAAATGGATTTTCAAGGTCTAGCTATTTTGCTAGTAGCGGATTAGCATGAGAAGGTGAGTCAGAAAAACGTCGCAAATGTTTTTTGAACATGATGGCAAACAAATACACTGCGAACAGTCTGCGCGTTTGCTGTCGCCACACAATACGCTTGAGTTCGAGAAGTATGTAGTACTATGTAGTTGGACAACAAAATCTTCTAATCTAGTGCTTTGTTTCTGACCTTCAGAATGCTTGTGCTTTTATAGAAGTTGTAACTTTATTTGATCAAATTTACATAGCAATTGTGATTTGATTACAATGGCTGTGCACAAAGCAAAACTCAGATAACTTTGTCAGAAACGAAGCGAGCCATTTTTTGGCAGTAATGTGTTAGTAGTCTTGTGGAGACACAAGGTGCAAGCAACTGTTCTCGATATTCGCGCATCAGCCTGTTTATTTTATCGCGTCGCAGCTGGTCTTTTCTTCGTAGCCTTCGCACGACACCCTAAAGAATTGGTTTACCAACATTTTCTGTGCGTAAAAATTTGACTTACTCTTTCAAGGTTACGCAAGGTGCACATTGCTCTATTATTGCTGCCCCTTAGACATAGTAGCGTTTTCCGCACTGGTGCTTGGTTTTCGCGTATGAGTAGTCGAAGGACTCTGGAATCAAGAAAAATTAACCTTTCACAGATTGAAAGATACCCTTACCTATGATATGACTCGGCAATGTTGCTGGTTCTGATCTCTTCCTTCCCCCATTTATTCCAAATACTTGCAAATGGGCCACGGTACCAATTCTTATGAAGGTAACTCAAAAAGTTTTTGCATTTGATATAGGCCGGGTGCGTGTTTGGGATATTTGAAGGTGCGAAAAAGGCTGGTATTTTTCTATGCAATTGAGGTGGCAAAAAAATTAATCCTTTGATTGTCATCCACCAACTGGAGACTCTTCTTTGCTTCATCTCTGATCTGAGCCCGAGGGACTGTGCCTTTCTATTCCAGGACTGTGCCAAATGAAAGGCACAGCCCTCAATAGGCGAACTGGGGCACTGTTTCTGAAAACATCTTTTCACGAATGTTTCTGTACTGAGCATTCTTACTCTGATCGCTGATAATGCTGCCCTCTCGAAGTCAATTACTATGCGTAAACGGGCCAGATCGACGTTTAGGTCCTGGAGCTCCTCTTTTACAATGCCGAATACCTTCTCGTAGAAAGACTGAGTTTTCCTTCTCATCAACACATGAACAAGCGGCACATCTAAATTATATCTACTGAATGACATGGTGATGTGAAGAAGCTCAAAGGACTTACCTACTCCGGCGTTACATACACCGTGAACTGTGTAAAGTTGTGCATCTTTTCCTAGCTCGCAGGGTGGGAGGTTATGTATGCCATCTGCTACAATGGCAATTAGACCGTTGTTCACAGCCTTCTGCAAAGCAATGTGAATTCGAGTGGTATAAAATAACTACCGTATACCTCTAATGTGCTTCTTGAATAAAACATGTACAGTCCCGGCTGGCTATGTTGCAAGAAGAGCGACCCGTCCGGCAAGTTTTTCAAGTCGTTGGGTAGATCCTCCAATGTGGCCCTGGGCATGTCATGTCTCTGCAGTGCTCTGAAACGTGAACGTTGCCGAGACGGATACGAGAAGAAGAACATAAGCAGACTTAGCGATAGTTCGTCTTCGTGCTGCGTAACCACCTTTGTGAAATTCATCCATGAGTTCTTCCACCTCCTCCATACCTAAACTCGCCGTTATATGATTGATCAAAGAGATAGTTGTGCTCACTCAAATTCTCCATAAGGGGGACGACGTCTAGCATATCCTGCCATAACCTCCTTACTGGTGTATCTGCATACGCGGGGTCCGATCTGATGTTTTGTAGCTTTTGGTAAAGAAAGCGCTCGAGTGAATTTGTCTTTATTTTTTTCGGCAGACAACGATGCGGGATGCGGCATGGGTCTTCTTGAAACACGTCCCCCACCACCTGTACAGAATACATTACTACACTGCTGCATCGTGCAAGATGATTAGGGCTTACGTCGATTTGCGTAAAGTGTCCGTCTTTGCAGCATTGTATACATTTGTATGTTTTGCAGTTCCTCTTGTTTTTGTGGAACGCAAAGCAGTAACATCGACTCCCTCCTGGAATCCGGTAGGTTAAGACACAATGTTTTCCAAACTTACTTACCTGCCTTTCCCCTATATATCTACCTGAAATGGGATTAGGGGAAGTTTGCGGAGAAGAAATACTTTCATGATTTGGGGAAGACATTGGCGCAATTTCATGTAATGCAGGTGTAGCAAAAGCTTCTTGCGTTTGTGAAGCAATGGACATATTTTGTGTATCTAAGGTGACAGCTGGCGCAGAAAGGTTGCTACTATCTGGCGCAGAAATAGAATGCGAGTCTGGGATTGCGAGAGGAGTATCAATTGGACGTGGAAGAAGACGTCGCACTGTTATCACAGGCGTGATGACGTTAACTACACGAGCCTGTCTAGCATTCGCAATAAAAATAGCTGTGGAAGCGTTAAGCTGTGAAGACATCTTAACCAAAAGGATTCGAAGTTTGTGAAGGACGCAAATGATGCAAATGAAACAAAAAAACAAGTGCGCTCTTGATTTTACAAGAACAAAGCAACAGCACAAGTTCACTCTTGTATGAAACACATCAGTACAGGTTTGCAAACCATGCCGGACGCTACAGTACTGGTTCCGTAGTAGGACCCATGTACATTAATGGCATTTTGCCAAATCTCATTATGGCCAATCTGATGGAAAGATGAAGGTAATTTGAGAACTAACCTCTCCAGAAAGAACGAGAATCGTAGAAGTAACGTCTGCTGCTACGCCTGTCATGCTTTCGACAAACGTAGAACTTGTGAAAACTCCTACAAAAACAATAGTCAAATTGTATCCAACAAAAACGCGCTTTTCTTACCCTGGATTTCGTAAGTCTCGTGAACCAATTCGCATCCAAAGCAGCAACACTTTCTCAGAAATCATTAGACTTGAGTACAACGCAAATGTGAAATTTTCAGCGAATCCAATACCTGAAAGTAGAATTGTTTCAAGCTAAAAGGAGGACACTGCCTCTATTCTTCAACTAATATCAAGTTTATACTATGAAATCCCATCTACTTAATCGTAATCTTGGCAAGTTTCGGAAATGGTGAAATAGTCGCCATTATTTCGAAGACAAAACTTTCACAGAAAAACTTAACCGTTCACTTTAAAAAAGCGAGAAATATGAGGTTAACAAACTCCACATATGAACAGGCATTATCAGTGCAGACAAGACTGATGCCTGCTTAGTCTCTAGAGGACAACCGACTGGTGATAGATTACAGAAAATGCTAATAACTACCGCAGCGTACTCACCTAGCCAGTCACCTCAAAAGACAGGCAGAGCTGATTCACTGATTGGCGGTTTCCACTACATTTACTGAAATGTAAAATGATGATTCTAAACGAAATTACTCCGACTAGAAACAAAACAATAGCAAACAACGAAATCCTGATGTTTTTGCAAGACGAGCTCGCTTAAGATTCAAATCAATCATATTTCCCGCCACGCAACCACTCGTCCAATTCCGCGCGCGAAGCCACGCCCACCGACGCGAACATCGCGCGCGACGGGTTCAAAAGGGCCTACACCCCAGAAGAGTTCCTTTTCAATCTCTTTGCTCTGACACTGTAGATCCAAGTTATTGTTTCATTTCTACCTATTCCGGGCACAAGTTGAAAATCTACCGTCTCTGGTGAACAGACTAAATTTTCTAGTTCCTCACTCCAAATGAAGCAAAATAAAAGTTTTTACCCTAAAATCCGTCATATAAGATCGGCTCGCAGTAAAGACCGCCTCGCCGATAAGACCGCAAAAGTGCTCTCAATTAAGTCCGCTTTCGTGACAGCCTCGCGCGCCTCGCGCGCCGCCAAGTCCCGCGGATAAGTCCGCCTTATTTTTTTCACATGAAAACAAGAAGGATGCGCAATTGCGCTGCCTTTTTTGCTCTCAGAATGAACCGAAGCAACGGATCTTTATTCAGGTAGCATTCCATGTTCATAACAAACATTCATGGCAACAACTTGACCAAAAGAACGACCATCATTATCGTTATTATCAGCAACAATCAAAGCGTCGAAATCCTCGTTCATGCCTTCTATTATTGATTCGTCATCGAGAGCCTTGGTGAAACTGTTCGCAATGGTTTCTTCGCCTCAGAGATAAGTTCTTTCTCTTCATAAAGCCTTTGCACCACATCGCCGATGCCCTGAAGTCCTGGTGGCCAGATTCCCGCGCTAGCTGCAATGCCTTCTCGCGAATGTCTTTGACAAGCACTGCTCGGCTTCCTTCTCGCGTCTGCACAATCCATGCATAGAGAGCTTCCTCTATTTCCTCCACCTTTGGCTTCCCATGACGGTTGGCGCGTCTCCTCAGTGGCATATCCTCCAGATTTTCTTTATCGGCCTTCCATCTTCTAACCAGACCATCAGAGACTTCGTAACGAACAGCGGCAGCCGATGTTCCATGTTCCAAGGCATATTGCACCACGTTAAGCTTAAAAAGCGCGGTGTAGGACTTCCTTCTGATAGCCATTGAGATGCGAGACACCTGAAAAGCTTAAGTCAAAGCATGTGAGACTATGCTGGAAATATAGGGCCCCGCGTGATTGTGAACTTCGCTGAGTTACCGGTCATTGCACACTGGAATCACGCGGAGTCCTATAAATTTGCGCTGGTCATCGAAAGGTTTACTCTTTTATACAAGGAAAAGCAGGCGGCATCAAATTTGACTACACTATCTTTTGTCTTGGATGTACAGGCTTAATGAAACAACAATTGAGGAAAATAACAAGGAAGCCTAATGCTTTGCTAAGGTTGAGCATTCTCAGACTGTCACTCTTCCGTTCAAGAAAGCATTTGACAAAAGCCGTATGGCATGGGTCAACAGAGACTACATTCAGAACATGAAAACAATAGAGGAAGCAAAAGTGTAGGAGTCAGGTTCAAGGGTTGTAGCCTGTACGGGTTCGAGAGATGTAGTGAAAACATTGTCGCCTCCAAAACGATAAGATGAATGATAAGTTGAGATGATTGCAATGATGCAATGATGAAATTATGATTACTATTATGATTCTTTTCATCGGCAGAAATCGCTCAATTTCATACAGGTGTCATATATAGGAAAAGAACTCACCTATCCAGCGTACGCGATGAAGAATCCGCGACGACCACCAAGTAGACTGTACGACTTGTCGAATCCTTGGGCTCTTTCTTTCAGGCGATATCGCGGCCTCGTTTAAATCTACACTGGCAAGCCACGCGAGCGGTCGCGCGCGTCTGTGCTCCTAGGTCGCGCTTGCTCATGCTTAGGACAGACGGACGTATCTGCGAGACGATTTAGGCGGACTTATCTGTGACACCCTTTGCGGCGTTTTTCCATCGATTTTCCTGCCAAAACTGCAGATAAGTCCGCTCTTATATGACGGATTTTAGGGTAAAAATATTTTCTTTGAATCGATTTATAACGCTTGTTCATTTCATTTCATAGCAACAGTTATTGACATAACTACTTCTTTGTTGGTTCATTCATCATTGAAATATAAGAGGAACATCAGTATAATCAGTATATTTCACTATCATATGCGAGCTTATGAGAGGGATGCTGATGAGTATTAGAAAAGTAGGTATGTAAACTTCAATAAAGTATCACAATCCAAAGTATCAGCATTTTGCAAGATAGCAAGTCTGGTCTGGCTATGATGGATGCATGTTCATCGACAATTCGAATCATATCTTCTTTCATTGAAGAGCATAATAGAAGTTAAAGAGCTATTAGATTCCTCAATTTTAGGGCTTTCCATTCACATCCGAAACGTTGAAAAATACTTCCATGGCATTACGGCAGATACATGGCATTTGAGCTGAAAACATGCGCCTTTTTGCAAGGAAATCTCCGCGCAAGGAACGAATGATAATGCCGAATTGTCTGACTGAGGTACAGGAGCAAGACTTTGCCAGTAAATGTAGACCGCTGGTGTTGCCCTCAGGTAAAGTTTTTTATTTGTGAATTCACAGGAGAGTTGGAAAAAAGAGACGATCTACATCGAATCTACATATTTCAAACTTTCGATTGGTAGTCAGTCGGTTGATGAGACATAAAGCTTTCCTGAATCAAAAAAGTCTCTCGATGGTCTTCTAAAGCTCTAACGAAACCAAAGACTTTTATTACTGCAGGACAGCAAAATGGCTGACTCAATGAAGGAAAGAGTTGTGAAGCCTATCTTTGCTGGTGCCGCATTCCAATTGTTTCATTGCCCTCTAGACGCTGAAGAGAACAGTTGTTAGCGTTGCTGGTATAAAATCATGTTTAGGTAGGGAAGACAAATGCTAATTTGATTGAAAGGCATGCGGAAGCTTTGTGCTACGTAAGTAATTACAACAGTATGCCATCTTTATCTCATGAAAATCTAATGGTGTACGGACAATTGATGTGACCTGCTTATTTGCGTTTGCACACTACTGTCCTCCTCTCCTGGTATATACGACGAATGCGAAAATGTGCCTATAAATACATGTGTTAAGTCATTGCTTTTGCCTCCAGCAATTCTTTTGGCTCTGCAAATTTTTTTTTGCAAATGCAGTACCGTAAGTTAGAATCTTTTTGGCTATGGCACTGTGCTGTATTGGGATCGAATACACGGAGGCTGACGTTATACATCTAACACACCTGCTAAAACATAGGATTTGTTGCGGCCATTAAAAAAATAGTGTGCTTTGTAAACAAACTTGGAAGTTTTTCTTTCGTTTCGAGAATTTGTTTCAATTTTCTCACGATCGTCGTTGTTTATAATGGAAGTAAACTGACTGATATCAATGCAGGTTAACGAGATTTTTAGCTTAGTGGTATTCCATGACTTTATTCTCCTCCAGCCCGTTCCACAACCACATTACCCGCACTGTGGTTGACATGCATGGACTTCAGCTTTAGAAAAAAAAATTTTTTTTTAACGTTTGGGTGGTCTAGAGCTCTGTGGTGCGAAAGCGACGCAGCGGCATTCCCTCCGTGAAATCAAAAAAGAACATCATGGGATAAGCTTGAATGCCGTTTACCTGACTCCAAAATCGGATCTATGGCTTCGAATACAGTCGCGGAGGTATGCACGATTGCTCAAAAGCTCTTAGGATAGCTTTGCGATTACTAGAATACTGTTACGGAGATTTTGGCTAGAAACCAAATGTTTCCATCAAGTATTTTATAGAGGGTGTCCCAAAAGTATGTATACACAAGAAGTTGAATAAAGTGAGTTGAATAAAAAGTTATAACGCCTTGGTAGTTGCTCAAAGAGAAGACAGCAATATATGTATACACAGTTTGATCGTCATTACCTCTCATTCCAAAGGGCTTTTGCTTATGTTCAGGTACCGTTTTGAAAAGCTGATTTCATGTTATAAAAGCAGTATGGAGCGAACAACCAATCGCTCTTCATCACTATAGGTTTACGTCAGGAATTTTTAACCCACAGCGTCATTGTGGATTGATCGTGTCTCAAAAAAGTTTCTAGAAACATGAGAAATTGTGTACCAGGGATTTGACGCGCGCTGATTTCATTACTCAACTTTTTACGAGTTTTCAGAGAGCAATGTGAAGACAGCTATTGCGGTTTACCTGACATAAGCTATGAAGAAATCATTGCGGTAAAGTGCAAATTAACAATTATTAGCGACTCTAATTCGCCTGTTAAAGTTTTTGGGTTGCTTGACCTTCTGAAGCGAAATAGGTCTCTTAATGGCTCAAAACTTTTCCCAAATTTTTTACCGTAATCCTACAGTAACGAAAAGGATCGGTGACTCGTTTCATACTGCAAATCTAAGTTGTGGTCAGCTCTACAAAATGGCACTGAAGGTAGGGAAAAGACTTTTAGGGAAGATAGGTATCAATGATCAAACAGCGTATATATAGGGGACACCCTGTACTATTCAACTTATTAGCCAATCAGCTTAGTAAGGTAATTCTGTATTTTCCCTACATTCACAGTGGAACATAGAAGCTCTAAATTAGAGCGTCACGAAATTACGCAAATCTGCGACAACCACATGATATTGAAAAAAGTCAAAGCGTACAACGCAGAAGATTCAGTAACATGGTAAGCAAATATGGAATATGCATGTATGGCAAGAATTCGTTAGCAGTTCCGCTTTCTTGCAAAACGAGTATGCCCATTTGTCACTTTCATGATTGGGATTGTAAAGGGTGAAGGGGGAGGTGTGGGCCGCGAGTACCTTTGTATTCCTCAGTAGTGAAAAACTGCGCCTCCCCTCCTCGAATCCATAGAGCACTGGCCAGGCCGAGTGCACCCCTCCAATCTCACCTTGGAGCACGAAGTTTTCCCGCAGCACTTAGCAGAAGCAATAGGTCCATTAAGCGTGTGGGGATTAGCATTAGCAGTGCAAGTCCATCAAAAGACCTGATGACTGCAATTATTATTTCACAGTATGTTCTGCTTTTCTATGTTTGATCGTAGAGAATCTGGAACTTGCAAAATTTAGGTTTTTTCAATGGTCTTTTATCACTGGGCTTGCGAATTGTATGATTCTATGGAAAGTTATGATTTCTGAGCATGCTTTCCTGAACAACTAATTTGACAGGCATTTGTTTCAAAATCACTTTCAATAAAAACGTACAGATGGCACAAAATCCGCCCATTTACAAAGAATAGGCAATAAAACCTATACTTTGACCGCTCAGATGTATATTACGAATTTCAAATTTCTAAGAACAAATGCAGAATAATCAAAGTTTGAGTGACTTTTTCTGTACGATTCCATCCATGCAATACGTGCTCGTTGGACAGCCGTTGGGAAACGGTTCAAAAAGCGTGAATTACTCCTTCAGGCACGACCAAAGGCAAAGAAACCTTCAAGAAAATAAGAAGTTACGAATTTCTCCAACATCGTGTGACAGAACTTCTGTGCAAATGCTAATTACAATGCCTCTCGTAATTTGTGAATAAAAGACGCAAAGTCGCCCGATTTATGTGACATCACCTTAGGGCCATATCTCACTTTAGAGTGGACGAATTCTTAATCCAAGGCCACCATTCGATTCAGCTCGCATTTTCTGATTAGAAATACTCGCTTGGAAACAGTAGGAGGCCAGATTCCACAGATATTTCAGTTGATCACGGTGGGTTATTCAGTGTGCTTACTCATTGCACTTATTGGGCAACCTACCTTAAGCAAAAATCTGAAACGATTCGTAGAATTTGGCCTCCTACTGTGTCCGGGCGGGCACTTCTATGAATCAGAAAATGCGTCGCACCGAGCTGAATCGAATGGTACCCTTGGATTGAGAATTCGTCCACTCTGAAGCGAGATATGGTCACGCTATGGTGATGCCATATGAATCGGGCGACTGTGCGTCTCTTTTTTCACAAATTACGAACGGTAACGTAGGTTGCAGTTTAATCCAAAGAAAGAATATTGCCATTTTCAGCTCGATTGTAGTTAACTGGTTTCGCACCGAACTGATTGAAAGTAGAGTTTGAGTTGTCTATGTTGCAAAACTGTATTTCCTAGATGGTTAGTAGCTGCTATTTCCTTCATGTCGGCCGCTTGAGAAGTCTAGGTTCAAAATGTTTCAATCTCAAAGGTTGTTATTGATGAGGACATCCAGTGTTTTGAGAGCAATATAATTTTTCAAGAAATGCCTCTTTTATTGTTTTGAACTTAGTAAAATTAGGAAATAATGATCACATGCATTTGGAATGAGCTTGAATTACTTAGAAGCAAAAAAAACATGCAGCAAGCCTCGCTACCTTTTCGCTATGCGATATATTGCATATAAAGCTTCATTCAAACTGTCGACTTTTGCTTGTATAGTAGGATGAAAACAGACGTTGATGACCAAGCGTGTGCTTCTGTGATTGCTAAGAATTTGAGATTGATGGACCAGAACCCCCTGAGGAAGGCTGTGTCAGACAATAACGACATTACCTTCTGTCACGTTGGAACTTACGCCTTCTCGTTTATACTGGTTTTGTACAATCGGTTTTTTTTTCGGAACAACTACGTATTTTAAAATCCACATTTTTCAGGTTTACCTTCATGAAAAACCTTTTGTTGGCGCAGTAAGAACGGCATACTGACTGGTAAGTAAGTTTTTTTATTGCGATATCACTTGAAGAATATTCATTGTAGTAGGTAGTATACAATTTTCCGTTTCGAACAATGAAAAATCTATCGTGGCAGAAAATAAAATGCACCAAGAGGCTATATTACATGTGAATTATGCTAAAAAAACTTGTAAATAATAACTTCTCAATATATTGCTATTGGAGCAAATCTATTGTACTAAAACATCACAGTGTTAACCCTAAAGAGCATGAAGCCGTACATGTAATAATTTCGAGGAAACAAGAATACAATATGAAATGAATATGAGTGAGACCAGACCTGTGTAGTCTCCGTGTGCACATTGATATGTGGGCATGAGACGAGATAATATACACCCGGAAGGAAACGTGTAGCTTTATTTTAACAAATACGGATCTTTGATACACTTAGTAGAGTCTTTGTAGCAATCGCTTGCCCCTTTAGTGGCCAGGCATACCTCACGCGATTTCATCGCCTCGCGATTCCAAGAAGACAACTGTTATGAATCCATGCATGCCGATCATCTAGAATTTCGTTTGTGATAGTTAGCCTAATCAGTCGTGTCGGAAAACTATCACAACCAAAATGCAAGATGATCAACATGCAATGAACTGGTAACAGTTGCCTTGCTGGGAGAATTGTGAGGCGATGAAATCGCGTGATGTATGCCTGGCCCTTTTTGCAGCGGCTAAAGAGATTATGGTAAATTAAGGTTGATCCGCTCGCACAACCGAACTACGTTAGCGATTCTCTTCAGAAAAATGGATGCAATTTTCGATCTGCTGCTTCCCAAATCCCTTTTTGTTATGCGACGCGCGACAGGCCTTGAGCATGGGTATGAGAGTGCCCTATTAGTACAGACTCTTGCATCCACGTGCAGATCCTCGTGCATATACATATTTCAGTATCGCCAGCTTTTACTGAATCTCAAAATGTGCACGACACGCGACAGCGGTGTGATTAGCTTCATCACGACATCATTATTCAGGTGACTGCTAGCGAAAGTATAACCCACTTAGAGCCAGCATGACGCATGCAGCGCAGGCCCACCTCCCATGTGGATGATTTCGCGCATCTCGAGGTTAGCCGCAGATGGTATGAATAAGAGAGGCTCCTAGACGAATCGTGAGAACATGGCTTGTGAAATAAAAGTCTTTTCCTTAGAATTTGAGCGGATTATTGACTCTCTCGTAGGGTAGAATTCTTGAGCGCCGTCACACTGCGTGGAGCGATCGCAAACATCGAATCTACTTGCGGTTTTGTGGTGATGATGTTCACGAGTGTCGATATCGCTGCCGATCCCTTTCGAGTAGTCATTGCTTGGGGACGTCGTGGCTACACACGGAGTTCCGCACTGGACTCCCTGAATATGGTCATGATTAGGGTAGTTTCAATAAGGAGCGGATACTCGGTAACCGTGGCCATTTGGAATGCGATGTATACCTTGAGATGCGCTTTAAAACGCTGATTCTAAATCTGTGCTCGATATCGGCGAAACGATCGTTTGAAAAGAAGTTATGAACTTTTTTCATAGAAAATTGAGTACTTTCGGATAGCTAAAATCACCAAACTGTCCTAGGTTATCGTTTGAAGCTAATGAAGGTAATGAAGCTAATGAACTAGTTAAGCTTGAAGAGTACTGTTGTATTTATACCTATCTAAATCATACACAGCATTTGAAAAGAAAACAAACTTTCGATTGATGATTTTGACCCTCCGCAGTAGCACAATTCATTCATGAAAAAAATCATAACTCCATCCGGGTTATCGTCGCAGATACGGGAGGCAATATTCGAACCACCATTAAAGGGCGCATTTTCTGAGTTAAAGTCATTATGAATAGCCACGGTCACCAAGTATCCTTCCCTTGTAAGAGGACAATTCAGAAAGCTTCTGTGATTCTCGACAATGTTAAGGGGATGTCTTTTCGAGCAATGGAAACTTTTAGAAGTTTTTCGAAATCAAAGAATACACTCATTGCTTTAGAGAGCATTACTATTCCGTGAAAGTGCAATTTTCTTATAGCAGCGGTTCTTCCGCAACTGAAAGATTTCGAGTAAAGAACAAAAAATGATGCTTGTTTATAGTTCTCTGCTAAGTATTCAATTACAAACCGCAATTTTTATCATCTCAAGGGACACCATGACTCCTACCTTTTCACTAACTTTCACAAGGTTCCCAATCTGGAAACCAGGCAGCGCTGACATCAAACCGTTTGAGCAGATGATCACTGATGAATTTCTGAAACGATAATATATCTCATTTAGAGCTCGCAAACTCCGTCGATACCGAAGCGGCTCAAAAGGGAACAAACAGCATAAATGTAGAGCTTACAATTTTGGCCTAGAATTTTGGCGCTATGGAAAGAATCGTTGCACATTATCACGCACTAACTGAAAAACAACACTGATCAGGACTGTGACTTTCTGCACTTTCCCCTGTGAAATGAATCAGCATAAAGTTGTGAACAATATAAAGGAGTAGCTATGAAAAATGTTCCTCAGATATTTTTGCTGTTAAAGAGTTCGGAAGCATTAACTAACCGCTTTTCGTCACTTTCACGCTCGGTGATGGTTTGAACCAATGCCATCGTTGTGGAATTATCCTTTTCGTGGACGACTCTCGGAAGTAATTTACCAGTGAACATCTGAATATAGGGAGAGAAGGTGCAGATGTCGTGGATCTGTGAGTATTCTGACTATACCTGTCGTACCACATCGCGAAACTGCTGCGACATCCCACAGTATATCGCAAATCGAAACGGGTAAGAAATCACGATGAGGACGTTTCTATAACACGAAATTTTGTACGGCGGAATGAAAACATTTTTTTTGTGCAGGAAGAAGCCTAAACACATCCCCTGCTTGCTTCATATTGAGAAAAGATCGCAAATGGCAAGAATCCAAATCTATACCCATCCTCAGACAATCGCCGGGGGCAGGTGGGCGCCGGAAAATACGCGTTGCTGAAATTTCGCATTCCGCTCGCAGATTCCAGGAGAATGGTCAGCGAGTTTTTGAAAGAGCGCCCGTTGAATCTTTTTTCGCGCTTATCTTTTGCAGATATATTGCTGAATCTCTGAGGAATCGAACTCAGCAAGCGGCGTCCCGAAAAGTCCTGATTGCTTTTCAAAAAATCCGCGAGCGGGGTGCGAGAAATCAGCCATGTATTTTTCCGGTGCCCGCCTGCCCCCGGCAATTGTCTGAGTCGTTTAGGATGGCACCCATGGGTACGATACAGATATCCTTATAATAGAATGCCTTTTTGATCAAATTCAGCCGTCGTCGCCCCTTTTGCCTCCTTTCTTCTCTTTCACAAGTGTTCCACTTTGAGCTACCTGATATCCTAGATGGCCTTACTCTTCTCATCGCATGTAAAGGAAATGGATGGCGTGCTGTGTGTTCGGCTGCTGAGTCTATTCTTCTACACTCCATTTCCCTTTTCTTCCCCTTCCCACAGCAAGCTTCAGAGGTTGAAAACAACGCAAGTGATTGTTTTGTTTCTGCACAGCAGATCGAAACGTAAAGCAGAGTAGCGATTCCAACTCACCTCACAATAAGAAGAACGTTGAGAAGTTGGTAATTGATCACATAGGACTTCAAAGACACTGACAGTACATGGCTGATGAAAATCAAGGCAGCTGGAATCTCCGTTACCAAAAATAGCACGATGACTACGATTAGCATTCGGGTGTTCTGAAAACAAAAACGTCTACTAAGAATGGTCCTAGCCGTATGCGGCAGCAGATGTGTTATGGATACGGCACTTCTGCATAAGCCTGATGCCTTGTTTCATAATAAGAGCTGATCGTCGAGGAAAGGCAAATTAGGCGCGGCAATGTTCCATCTACTGAGAGGGTGCGAGGAAGGAAATGAGAGAGGTTTAGCTGGACGGCGGAGTTGGAAAGGAGAAGGTGGCCAAAGTTTGTGAGAAGGATTACGGAAAGATGAGATTGAATGAGAAGCCTCGCAAATTACCTGCTTCAGTCCCTGGCCCCGTCTTGGCTCGCTCACACTTTCACGAGGTCTCAAAAGCTTTGAACAATTTCTGTCCGGGTCCGAAGATTCGCAAGAAGCTGGCTCAGAGAACTTCCGGCGAGTCGACCTAAACTGGCTCTATTAGGCCCTCCGAAAATGCTGGTTCAGCTGTTTCATGATAAGATTGTTGCACCCATATGATGCGAAACTGGTCACAGACTAGCTTCGAACTTTAGCTTCAATTATCTGTCTGCATCCTGCATCTGAATCGACATGCACTTTGTGATGAACAAGCACGGCTCACGAACGCGCCTCTAACTAAGCTTAGGTTCCTAATTTGCAGTTGGCAAATCCGCAAACATGCAGCGGATATGTTACGTGTTTTAGGGTAAAAGGAAGCCGATTGAAGATACACACACAATCAAGCAAAAACACAACGCAATACAAATACTAGCATCTTTCTGCGGCGATGAAATGCGAACTAAACTTTCAGCAGTAACATTTTCCTCTGAACATTTGCGTCTGGTAGTTATGAACACTTAGAGAACGGGTCGCAAAATTCTCGATTTTACGTATAGGAGTTATAAAATTGCGCAAGATTATAGTTCAGAATTTAAAAAAAGGCTAAGGCCCATAATAGGAAAATCTGTGTGCCCCCCTCCCCCTCCTCGAAAGGAAGCGACAAAAATTTTTCTCGAATGAAGGTGCTGGCGCTATATATGCAGACTCCCGGATACACTGCTTAATTAGATTCCAGAGCGGACGAATTGAGAAAATTGTATTGACTTTGTTTTTTTACAGCATTGCACGTGAGGAATGATCCCGAAACGGGCCCATATACCGCAAGAACACATAAACTAAGTCCTGTATGCTTGACTTTCTACGATGCTATTCTGGACCCACTATATGGAAGGAGGCTGAGAAAAAGCCTAGCTTGAATCACCAAACAATTACTTGTTGAGCAGAGTGGCATGCCGCTTGTCGGCTATTTGAATCGCTCGGACGAGTTTCCATGTGAAAACCACGAGCATAGCGCATGGAATCAGGTGCACAAATACTGTTTGAGCACAAAATGTCAGATTATAGAACAAATCCAGTCCTATCGCTTTCGGAAGCCAAGTCTGACGGCGATAACACATACGTCTTGTGGCTAAAAAAAGGTTCGAGTGGCAGCGCAGATAGAATAGTGTAAAGACCCTTACCATTTTTCTTGTAGTCCATAACATCAAAAGATTCATTCTCAAACGCAAGCACATCGGGAATGTACATGAGCACTGACGCTATGCAAATAACGAAAATTACCTAAATCATCATCAGTCCAATATCCAAAGCAACTGCGTAGAGTTTAAAAAATTCACCACTGCTTACCTGCTTACTACGATAGATTGTACAGAATCGTCGCACTAGCGTTGGAACGCAAATATAAATATATCGTTGTATGGCTAGATAAACCGTTAGCCATATTGCTGTTGTGTGAAATATTGAAGGCAGAACGGCGGCCATATACGGTAAAGCGTTGCACCAAAACGATGATAATCCGTACTTTCGATCAGCTTCGAAACCTACAATCATTATAATTGAGTGAATTAGCGGCAGACATTCTTCGACATATTTGGCTAAATAATTAGTTCATAGATGTAATCTATTTGCGATAAGGTACGAAGTGCGAAAAAGCCTACTAGTCCATAAATTCACTCCTATTTTTTTCAAAAGGGGTAACACCATAGCATAAGCTTGGGATTGAAACTATTCTAATCAGTTTGCGACTTGGACCCTCACATTGTGTATGTGGATCAGCATGACATAGAGCAAATGGACGGGCCAAATATGCTCAAGAAGTGTTGGCAAAACAATATTTCATTCACAAAGATGACTAGAAAGACTCATAAATTCGATGTTCTCTGCTTCCAAATTTATCACGTCCCTCTGCGACTTTACTAGCACTTTCTACTTTATTCAGCAGTGCCATTGACACAGACTCAATTTGCAGAAACGTGCGAATTTTCGCCGTACTTTGATGCTCAATGGCAAACTTAAATTTGTACGAAAGTTGGCATATCCCCACCTGACAGAGTGAAATAGTACAGAAACCATGGCATCACACATAGCCCCGTCAACAGCTCTGACACCGCCATTGCTAGTAGAACGTAGTTTGTCGGTGTGCGAAGGTATTTATGCGATAAAACTATCACAATAAAGGAGTTCGTTGCCAATGTCAAAGTGACAATCACTGGCATTACATAACCGTAGAGGGGTATTGCCCAGTGCAAAGGTACCTGGAACGGAAAAAAAGCGGCCTGTGAACTCTAATCTCTGAAAGGAGCATAGGAGCAAAGGACACTAGGCACTTTCAGCGATTGCTAGTCAAATGGCATTAACAAATGTAAACATTTTCAAGCAAAAGGCCAAACGACATGCAAGTCAAGTGAAACGTTCACTTTCGATGAATTTTGGAGATATTACCTGTGATGGTATGCTTACGATCCGACAAGAGCGGTTGTAGACGCAAGGCGGATGATCCATTCGTGAATAAGATGGATGGGACATCGTGTAGAACCCCTAGATGACTGAATGGTATTTGCTAGATAACAAAACGGAAACATTCTCACCTAGGGCAAGTTCTCTTCGACGACAGCCCTGCGTGTCGGAGCTTATGGTAGGATATCACTTTCTAAGAATGTAAGTAATGAGATTGAGTTTGAGCTCAGATTTGTTCGTTTACAAACAAAGTGAAAATCGCATCGTATATCAGAAAACAGAGAAGATTAACGGAAGGGAAATTCATTGTTGACGAGTAAAGAGATGGAAGAATTTGTTGACCATAAAAGAATCAGGCGACCCTGGCAGCAGAAAGACGAAAAAAACAATAATCGCAAGCGCCCTCATCTATCAAGAATAGATCAGAGCAGTTAAATCTATGTGAGACAAACGTAGGGCAGCGCTTAAACGCGAAGAATAGGCGGAGATAAAGCAGTGAGAGCATGAGGGCGGGGGAAACCGTCGAATTCTTCGATGAGCTCAGAAGGCTTGGAAGGAATCAGCAGAGAGTATAGCACCTCTTACCCTCCGGAGAGTGCTGCACTCACCCAACATGGATTTGCTTGGGGAGAGTGAAGAGTGGCTGAGAGGTAAACTGCAGCACGAACGTAATCCTCAAGGCTTTTGGGCCATACTTTTTCGACAGCAAAAGATAAATGGGGCAAAGTGGCTGCCAAAACTGATTGTTCATTTTCTAAGAATATGATATTTGACTATTATTATTAGTGAAAAATTAGGCAGAAGCGCAGCATAACTTAACCGCGCCAAAATCCTTGCTTTCGGGTTTCGCCCGATCTCCTTAATTAAAAATGCTTGAGAAAAGGTCTAAGCAAAGACGTCAAGGTAGATACGCCAATTATCCCTCTTCAGTCGAAAAATAGATGAAAGGAATTCTCTTATCAGTTTTTTTTCAACTTATACGCTAATGTTACGTGTTTTTTAGACGAGTGAGTGTCGAATGGCTAAGTGGCGCTGCGAGTATGTTAGCTATGACGAGGGATCTCCACTTACAGCTGGCTGCAGATTAAATCGTAAACATTATTGAAAAAGGAAGTGCCGCATATTTTTTGCAAATCAATAGCTACCAATAAAACAAAAAAAAATCCCTATTACTCACGTAACAGCACCATAAGAAGGGCTATACCCGCTTCTCTCATGATCTCGAAACCATTCGAGGTACTCTTTTCTCCAGTGACCACACTGGGTAAACTGAACTGGGTAAAAACAACATTTCGTTACATCACTACAAGACTAGAACAACACATCGGGAAGCCGATTAATCGGAACAATAGCTCTTAGCTTCGTTTAATATACAGAAGTGGTCATGATGTGATTTCGTGGTAACACTAGAGGCAAAAGGGCTTGGTTTTCCCTTTGATTATCGGTGCTTTCATTTGTGTACAAACTTTCACATTACCTGCATGCGAAACTCTCTCACACTTTACAGATTCAGCCAAAGGCTCTAATCAAACTCACATAGTGTACTATCAAACGTTCCTGAATAAACAATGTGTCATTTACACTTGCAAATAGTCTGCAAAACGGTCCATTTCGTAGGAGAAGAGAAGCTTGCGTATAGGTCCTATAATTAATCTTGCTAGCAAGAAGAACTGGTGAACAAGCCCTGGAAACATTTGCGGCCGTCACCGAACAAACACTACTGAGGAATCTCTGGCAGCAATCACATATTCGAGGAATTTCATATGTGAACGAATGTTTCCAAACACATACCACTCAACTCTTCTCATACGATAATGTTCCAGAACTAAAACTGTACTCATTCAAAAAGCGATTTGAGTCGCAGCTTCAGAATGATATCATAGCAATACAAATGCAAATGAATATATTATATTACAGTATTTTGTGGCTTGCTTCAGTCGTGAAATCACCGCCAGGGATGTTATTTTGGAATCTAAATGATGAATCATACAGAGTCACAAAAATAACTTCTGTGTAAAAATGCTGTTTATGCACTCAAACCTGAAAGGAAAATTTGTTCATATCTTTAGTGCGTTTATTGGAATTAACAAGGCTGCACCCAGGATTGATATTACAATCATTACCAGTATGCTGAAGTTATCAATATGTAGATTGTGGAATTAAGCACAATATTTTTTTGAGCTCCTCAAGTGACGATCACTACAATTTGAACAATGTCGGTCACTCAAAATGATGCATGGAGATAATAATGATAATAATGTAACATGTATAGAAGATCATTTGGCTTGGAAATGGAGCAATGACTGTGCTTGGTATGAAAATGACCTTGGTTTCGAAAGTGGAGCTCTGAGCGGCAAATTTTGTGCCACGGATGTAGCTCTTTCTTTTTTGAAAGATTTTTACTCTAAATCAACTATAACTGCTAACATTCATGAACAGCAATCGACGAGGCTCTTCCAAGGTATGTAGCGAAACACGGGCACCTACTACTAGGTCCCAGAGGGTTGTTCAGCAGAATGTGATAATGTAGAGAGGCGGAGGACGAAGTGACAATGCTCTGCGAAATGGAATGACCAGCAAATTCCTGCGTACACATCCAAGCACTTCGAACGGAGTTTTCCTCAAAGCCATAAACGATTATTTATCTAGAACACCAAGTCCTCCACCATGAAATGATAGTTCTTGCTCTTTTTCATGTGCGATGGCCCACCAAATAAGAGAAAGTTCCACGTTCACTTTGAAGTATTCAATAAATACAACCTGGTCATCCGAAACTTTCCTCTTTACCCTTCTTTGCTAAACGAGCACAATCTTTCGAACTTTCTTAGTATAGTTCTGTACTCATTCTAATGAGCGCTAATGGTGACACCAAACCTGAGTGGGAAAACTTAAGAGAGAGCAGGAGAGTTCATTTAAGATTGAGAAGCCTAAAACAAATCGGCAGGATATCTTAGGTGGAGTCGATTAAGAGTGGTATTATACATGGCGTCTTTGACTGAATTGTACTTTATGTTGACAAAAGGATGGATAAATAAATTTGAATCGGCAAGCTATTTCAAGTCAAAGGGAGATTGCCTATTAGACTACGTAACATCGACCTTAATTCTAAATATATGGAAATCTGTATACAGCTGAAGCGAAGCACATGTACAGGGTGTCCCAAAAAGATGTGCACACTGTTTGATCGTTAGTAATTCTCTTGCTTTCATGTCTTTTGTCGAGCTTAAAGTACTATTCTATAGCGCGAGGTTCAACTTAGATTTGCAGAATAGAGCGAATCATCGATCGCTCTTCACTACGGTAGGATTACGGTAGGAACTTCGAAGAGGGTTTTAAGCCATTAAAGGGCGCAATTTGCCTCAGAAAGAAAGCCAAACAAGCCAGCAACTCTCAAACTGGGCTAATTGAAGGTGCTGGTTCTAAATATGAAGTTTGCACTTTAGTAGAGTGCTTCTTTCATAAGTTATTTCAGATTTAGAGTACTGTTTTCCCAATGTCCCTCAAAAATGTGAATACGCGAACAAGAAAGTTCGAAAAATTGATGAAAGGTTATGTACTGAAATCAGCACGCCTGAAAACCTTAATACACAGATTTTCAGATTTTTTTGAAATTATTTTACCACCAGGCCTATTCACAGTGACGTTGTATGTTGGAAGTTCATACCGTAATCCTACAGTAATGAAAAATGATTGGTGATTTGCTCCACACTGCAAATCTAAGATGAACCTCGCTCTATAGAATGGTACCTTGAACTCGGCAAAAAACCTGAAAGCAAGAGAGTTATTAACGATCAAACAGTGTGCACATCTTTTTGGGACACTCTGTATAATGAAAGGTGAATTGAGGTAAGCAACGTTCTTTATTTGTTTCTTTTGAAGCTATAATAATGTTGCTAACTATGAAACATGTATGTAGCATGTCTTTCAAGTGATATTTTTGAGTAAATATTAACGACCAAGTCGAAATCTTGTTTATGTCTGGAGGTTGCTCTGCCACGCAAATTTCAACCAGTAACCCCATTAACACATCAAAGTCTTGTCCTTAAGTGATGGTAGTCGACAGTGATTCAAACAGCGCCATTGTACAAAGATGGTGCGTCTTTTGTTCGCAAATTGAGGCGAAAACATTGCAGATCGAGGGGTCAAACTTTCTTCAGACACTCAGAACAACCTCAACGACAAAGGTAAAGAAAGAATCGTTATACACAATGGTGTAAGAAGTGCATTTGGCTCCAAAGTATGGATATACAGGGTTTCGAACGCACTTCAGACCATATGGCTCCGATATAGAACTAGATAATCCGCATGAGATGAGCTCAAAGGAAGTTGTCGAGAAGAGCATATGTTGTTCTCGCAGTCACATTGGCTTTACTTGCTTCTATATGACCTCACATCTAGATTCAAATGGAGCTTTGAATTGCACTGTTGTTTATTGAGGTGTAAGGCGAGTTTGAGCTCAAGTTCTTCGATGTGTCTCGCAAAAACCCTTATGATGGACCTGTTATGTAAGGCAGCCCTTTATGCGCTCTTTCTATTATGCAAAGAAGCAGAAGATAAATACTACAAATTTTCTGATATTTGACAAGTAATTACTATTCATGTAATATATGGTGTGAGCACCAAAATTTGATTTCTTCTGCAAATACCACAAAGCTTTGAGAGCCAACACGTCTGATAAACATTCTTAGGGTAAAGATTAGGACAAAATAGATGTCATAATTGTGTCTCATGGAAATATTCAGCTACCAGTATCAGTTTCTAGTTATCACTTTTCTGGAAAATTCTCATCACCAACTGCGTTGGAAAAAGATCAAAAGGGCATAAACGAAGACGATTAGGACCATTCGTGCAAATGCTAGCGAATACTAATGAGAAATGAAAATTACAGATGTGGAAGGTGACACATCGAAAGCCGAGTGAGCAAATATTCCAAGATTGCGTGTTGAGGAGAGCAAAAACCTAGATTAATCATGGAACAAATTATAAAATCACAGAAAAAAATTGTTTGGGTCTTTGATGAATAGAGTCGAGCATTCTTGCAGAAATGAAAATAATGAGTGGTTACAGGCTAGAACAACAATTCGTCAACTTGGGGGAATAAAAATAGTTTCTCGAACAAAAGAGGTTGTTAAGAAGAGGTGAACGAAAAAACACATTCGAAGCCTGTATTACGTTAGCTTATCTTTCATCTTATCTTTCAGAAAGTGGATACACATAATGGAATTTTACTGTTTAAAGGATTTAAAGAATAACCTAGCCTGCCCAGATATTAGCGGCTTCTCCCGTTCGTATGGTCTCTCTTGTAATGATAGCAAGGCACAGCATCTTTTTATTGGCTTCCTTTGACAGAGCAATTATACGGCATTCACTCCGTATTTATGAGAAAGATGCCAACATTGTTTGCAGGAGTTCAAAGTGAAAAATTATTCCCAGGGGGACGTCCACACTACATCATTTAAGATGATAAACAGCTATGATATGTGTTGAGGAAAACAGAAGTGTGAAAATGTTAGGGACATATGAACTTTTGTTAGCCATATCGGAGCCGCAAAAGTTTCGTCGTTTCCTTGAAATCACCAGCAAATAATGCTGGGTAAAGATAGACAAATAATTTGAGAGGTATCCGATGCAAATTGTTTCCATTTTCCAGCAGCTATGTTTTCGCTGCGATCCTTCCTATGGGTGCTGAAATAATTGCCGGAGTTTACAGCCCTTCGTTTCTTCTTTGCGAATAGCCAAAACCTTCTGCAAAATCTTTCGACTTTTTTTTTAAATCTTTGAATTACATATATCAGTGACCATGTTTTGAACTCGATCTGCTCTGTCCCGCAAAACAGAAAATGATGAACAGTTCAAGTACCGTTCAATACACTTTCTCTCCCCCTTCTAAACAGCGCCTTTTCTTTGCGATGTATGCTTTGATTCAGGTTTTTGGAACCATCTCCCAGGAAAGACGATGGAATGATTGCAGAAAGCTCATAAAATCTTGAAGTTCTTAAAATTAGCGAAAGTTAGAAGAAGAAACGAAGGATTGTAAATTGGTCAATATCTCAGCGCTCATTGAAAGAGGGAAACATAGCTGCTAGAAGAAGAAAGATATACGTACTAGATTTGCTTCAGGTACTTACATCTTTACTACGGGATTTGCAGGTAGGTAAAGAAACAGACAAAACTTTCGCACCGATCTGACAGCAACCTTTGATATAGTAATATTATA